CTGGGAAGAGACCAGTCCAGTCCACCTAGAGACCACAGTATTTGGGGCAGAGATATGGGGGGAGAGGGTCTCAGGACAGCCACCTCCATGGTCTCTGCCAGGAGACTGAGGCTGGACAAGTCCCCTTTGGAGGAGAGCCCAGTCGGCTCCCACCTTCTTCCCACAAAGCCCAGAGTGGGAAGAGCAGCTGTGTCAGGACCAGCTGACCCTTGGAGATGAAGACCAGGCCTGCAAACTAGTCATTGGGGGCAAGGGGAGTGTGTCTGTGCTCTGCTGCCCCCAGCACTAGACTTTGGGAGTGGCCAGTCCCAATACCTCCAGAGCATGTAAAAGGTCAGGTCATACCCAGGATCTAGCAGGCAGGACAGGAGTGGTCTGCTGCGCCATGTGGGACAGCTCCCTCGCCAGGGATCGAACTCGTGCTGCGGTGATTACAGCGAGCTTTGTAGTGTTGAACGGGCTTCAACCCATTGTGCCACCAGAGACTTTCAATGTGCTTATGCCCAGGCCTGTGCTTATCTCCTCTCAGTTGTACGACAGCTCATGGAACATCACCCCCTGCCCCCAATCCCCAGTCCTCACCTGGAGTATCTGGGAGCCGGGACCCTGACACATCCACCCAATCACAGCCATCATGCAGCCCTAGGCAGACACTACAGGCAGTGGAAGAAAGCCTTGAACCATGTAGATTTCCCAGTGGGTAGGAGGAGATACGCCCCTGGGGGAATGTCAGAACAAGTGGGGTGAAGGGACCTCAACCTCAAAACCTCCCCTCACCCACCACAACAGAGACTCAAACACCTTCTCTGGAGCACAACTCTGCCTCCACAGCCAAATACTGCTGCTCAGGGACAGGACACAGCCATCCTGTCCCTGAGGTAGAGAAGCCACACAAGGGGTATGGTCTCAGGAGGCTTTGTTCTGGCAAAAGGCAGTAAAAGCAGCAGCATGGTGGGAGGGGGACCAGGAGGACGCTCCCAGTGGGGACTCTCAGAGGAGATGATGAGCCTGGAGCCCCTGGGCAAAGGGGCCGCTGTGGATAAAGGCACAGAGACAGGGTAACAGGAGAGATGAGGAAAGTCACTCCTGCGCCTGGTGGGGCAACCATGTGGTCATCGGGGAGGCCTGGGGTTCAGCAGCAGGGCTTGGAGGCCCTTGCAAGCTTTGGAGGCATCTGGATTTTATCTGGTGGGCACAGAGCCCTTGCAGAACTGCCCAGAGGAGGTGATCAGGGCACAGACTATACAAACAGGAGGGGCAAGTCGGGCAGCACAGGGATGAGGCCAAAGAGGGTGGATACAGGAGACCTTCAGGGGCGGCTGCTAGGTGCCAGGAAGCAGGGTGGGCTTTAGAGCAAATCTTCTAGGATGATTTGGAAAGACCAGCCTGATTTTCATTTCCAGTCTGCTGTGGACTCCTGGCTTCAGGAGTAGAAAGGCCCAGACTTAGTGGCTGTGGAGCCCAGGGGAGAACAATGGAATCCAGCAAGGCCCTGATTTCTGGCTCAGATGACTCAGTGCCCTCCGCCGGACACTGCAAAAGAGCAGGTTCAGGGCAAGAGCAGTTACAGGTTGGAACGCGTCCATGCAGGGTGTCATTTAACCCCCAAAATGGCGCTTTGTGGCTTTATCTGTTTTACAAATGAGGAAATTGAGGTTTGTGGAGGCTCAGATTGAGTCTGAGACTGGCAGAAGCAAGCCCCCGGTGAGCCCCCCGACAGGAGGGACCCAGACAGGAGCTCTGGGCACCGACAGCACACAAAAGAACAAGGCACAACAGAAGCTGGTAGAACACAGCTTAAGCCAACAGAACATGATTCTGGCAGAAAGTAGACGGCTCGGAGAGCCCAGCTCCGGGGGCCCAGTTCTGAGGGCCCAGTTCCAGGGGCCTAGCTTGGGGGGGGGCCAGGTTTCCCGTGCGAAGAGCTGCCGGGGTGAGTATTTGGAACATGCCAGGAGGCAGACACGTCCATGCAGGATGTCATTTAACCCTCCAGACAGCTCTTCGTGGCTTTATCTGTTTACATATATATGTATATATATAAAGATTTATTTATTTATGCATACAGAACTAGGGTACAGGGCAGAGGTGGAGGGGAGGTGAGAGGCTTCACCAGAGACGGAGTGGGGAGCAAAACAGGCAGTTGGATGAAGCACACTGCTGAGGGGAGCAGTGGGCCAGGTCAGGGGAGGTCTGCCGAGCCATGTGGGTCACCTCCGGGCCAGGATGCTAAAGTGGCTTTAGCTTCTTAGTGCTTTAACCCCCTGTGCCACCAGGGAGGGCCCCCCTCAACCCTTTTTTTAATAGTTTATTTTTACATTTTTTATTATATTAGTTTATTTTTACATATTTTTGTGCATTTTTCCATCTCAGTTGCAATCCCCTTGGGTTTCCCATCACCAAATCACCCATGTATCATCACCATGGTCCAGTGCATTTCCCTGCCCCCACTGGCTTTATCTGTTTTACAAATGGGGAAACTGGGGTTCATGGGGGCCCAGGAATGTGTCCCTAGAGGCAGAGCTGTGGTGCTCTGTGTAGGCCTCCCCAGCTGGTGGGTAACTATGGGGGGCAGCAGGAACCTGGATGTTGTGGGCTGGCTGCTAACGGTGGTCTTGGGGAGACAGCCCGGCGTGGCCAGCACACCCACCAAGCATTTAATAAAAGCTGTGGAGTGAATGTCCCTCTGTCCCTGAGCTTAGGCTGGAGGGGGGCCAGCGACGGGACACTGGTGACCTGGTTCCTGTGACATGAGAGCCGTCCTAGGTCAAGGTGAGGGCCATGTGTGCGCAGGGCCCTTATGGGGGTGTACCGGCACCCAGAATCAGGCTGGGAGACTGTATGGGGTGGATCAGGGCATGGAGCTCACAGGCCTGTGGAACCTAAATGACCCCGTCTGAGGAATTGGCCTGGGCAAGCTTGCTCGGGGCCAGAGGCAGTGGGACAGGCAGTGGCAGGTGCAAGTGCCTTTCCCAGGACGGCGACTGCCAGGCCAGTGAGCGCTGCGCCTATTTTGGGCCCTGTTTTTCCTCCCCTCTGTCCCACTTCTCCCTTTGCCCCCTTGGGCTGCAGCTACCTGAAAATGTAAATGTTGGCTGGACCTCACTCTCCATCCTGCCCCTTCCCCTTAGGGGGTCCCTGACGCCCAGGAAGCATGCCCCAGGAGGGATGCATCCCTTCATCCATTCCAGGGAGCCCTCCTCGGCAGCGCACAATGCGCTCTCAACAGGAGGGTGCCCAGACCATGGAGTGGGTGGCTCCCCTGAGTCCCACACATATTAAGCACAATCCCTTTCAGCCAAATGGCCCAACTTTGCATTTTAATTCTCCAGTGTTGTTTTCTGGAAGAAGATTAGGATTATAAATGAGTAGAAAGAATTAGGGGTGTGGTAAAGGACTGCCTCTTTGCCTGTCTGTATAGGAGGGAAATTTTGTACTTTCGGGACATTTTCTACATCACACATTAGGAGGGTTCTGGGTACTTCACACACCTGCCCGCTTGGAAGTAAAAATAAATTCTCTTCCAAATCATTAACAGGGTGGCCATTTCCCCAACCTGGCTCCATCCAGGGTAGAGGAACTATGGACCTATATCTGAGCTCTGCCTCTGTAATGAGCTGGGGCCTGTTTCCTGGGGTGCTCTTTGATGACTAGTGCTAACGGGGGGGGGGGGTAGACTATAGGTCACAGAGCCCCTACTGCTCAATTCTGGATATGCAGTTGACCCTTGAGCAATGTGGGGGTGAGGAGCACTGAGAGCCACCCCCCTCCCCGTTAAAATTCATTCCCCACAAACTTAACTACTGTGTAGTTAATAATCTGTTGATGAGGAGGAGTCTGACCATACATTGACATAATATATGTTAATTGACATATATTAACCAGGTGGCCAGTTAATATACACCCTGTTAATATATGTCAATTAGCATATATTATGTCAACATAAAATATGTCAATTAATATGTCAATTAACATATATTTTGTATGTTGGCTGTGTTCTCTACTGTGGTGTTACAATAAAGTAAACTAGAGAAAATGTTATTAGAAATCATAAAAAAGAAAAAATACTTTTACAGTTCCGGACTGCATTCCTTGGAGATTCTGGGCTTGTCTGGGTTGCTGGTGAGAGCTCAAGCCAGGCTGCAGGAAGTCTGCAGTGCTGAAAGAAGGAGCCTGCTTTCTCAGTTAGAAACGCTTCCTCTTGGACCCAGAGAAAGAGAAGGGGTGACCAAGTGAAGGGTGGGGAATCTGAGAGGATCTGGCTTCAGGGAAAGGACCTGAGCAAGTCGGCAGGGGGACTGAGCTGAAAGCCCCTGTCTTCCCTGCAAAGGCTCCCTGTGCATAGCACACACAGTCTCAACGCCTGCGCCTTTAAGTGGCTGCCTGCAAGCAGTCAGGGTGGGCAGGGGAGGTCACAGAAAAGAATTAAAGGCAAGACCCTGACCAGTCATGTGGAGTTCTGGGAAATGTTTCCCCCACCTCCTACCTCAGCCCTCAGGATGGTGGAAGAGGAAAGATGCCCCAGGAGAGACCGCTTAGTGACCTTCATTAGGCAGCTGCTAGGGCCCTTTATTTACTCGTCCAATTCAAGGCCGTGAAAGTAGAATAATGAAAAAAATCCCTGTGCTTCATGGAGTTTATATTCTAGTGGGTAAGATAGAACATGAACAAAATTGAAATACCTAGGGTATTTTTAGCTAGGGATAAGTGCTAAGAACACAAATCAGGGAAAAGGACAGTTTGAGAGAAGGCTCAAGCTGTGCTTGATCACTGGGGAAGGCCTCAGCGAGCGGTGACTTTTGCTTAAAGAGCTGCGGGAACTGAGAGAGGTAGCAGCGTGGACATGTGTGGTGACAGGCAGGGATGGAGGAATTCCAGGCGTGGGAACAGCGAGTGCAAAGGTCCTGAGGCAGGCTGGGAGCAGTGGGCTTGGAGGGGGAGAGCGGGGTGAACAGGGTGCACTGGAACACAGCACAGGCGGTGACCCCTTCCTCCCACAGGAGAAACTGGAGTACTTCTTCCTCATCGTCTTCTCCATTGAGGCTGCGATGAAGATCATTGCCTACGGCTTCCTGTTCCACCAGGACGCCTACCTGCGCAGTGGCTGGAACGTGCTGGACTTTATCATCGTCTTCCTGGGGTGAGGCCCGACAGTAGGGGGCTCTGAAGTCACAGGGGCTCTCTGAAAACCCTGAGCTTACCACTGCCACCCCCACTATCATTCCAGAGGCAAGATGGACCCCCAGCCTGTGGTCTGTGGCCATGGAGCCAACTCTGCAGGGGTGCAGCTGGTGTTGTGGAGCGTGAACACTGCCTACTCGGCAGGCTCCATACCCCTTCCCTGGCGAGGCATTCTCAGTTCTATTCTTTTCACATCATGCAACATTGGAAGCCATGTATGTGGTTACAGTGGCCTGTTGTTTCAAGCTGTTCATAAGGCTCTCAATTTTTACCATTTATTTATTTATTCCAGGACCCTCTATTGAGCACCTATTATTAGCATGCAAAAATGTTAGCAATTTGTATTATTTCATGCAGGCTGTCAAAACAGAATCCCACACACAAGGGCTTCCATGGAGGACGTCTGCTTCCTCACAGTTTGGAGACTGGGAATCCAGGATCAGGTGTTTCCACGCTGGTCTCCCAAGGGCTCTCTCATCGGCTAGCAACTGGCCAGCTTCTCCATGTCCTCGCGTGGCTGATCCTCTGTGCACACCCCCTGGTGTCTCTTTAGGGGTTCGAATTTCCTCCTCTTCTAAGGACACCAGTCAAATTGACTGCTATGGTTCAGAGACCCAGCACAATTCAGTCTATAACATAGACTGAAGTCACCACCGTGACTACATAAAAGCAGCATTTTTTAGTGCCTTCTGTGTGCTTTACACATCTCTTAGGACATCTCTTTCATTCACTCCCCAAGTGCTCTTATTTTTTCATTTAAGGAAATTAAGGCTCAGAAAAGCCAAGCCACTGGCCCAAGGTCACACAGCAAGCTAGCAGCTGGACCAGGATCCACAGCAAGGCAGTCCTGCCTCTAGCAGCTATTGCACTCTGCTTCCTGCCATTCAATAAACACTCTGTTGATTATCTGCTAATTAGCCAGGATGCTTTAGGCACCGCAGGGGAAACAGAAGAAGTCTGTGAATCCGCCTCTGCACTTAGTGAACAGCGGTCTGGCCGGAGTGAGTTCTGTGCACTCTCTCACCGCCCGCAGAACTATGTGGTCTGTTCTGCTGCACAACCAAGAAACAATACTCCCCTCACACCCGTCACCAGGCTGTGTGTCCCAGGCCGTCAGCTGTCAAAAGGAGGATTCAGAAGGAAGGGGCTTGGGGTGGATTTCAAATGAAATCCTGAGTAAACTGGCAGAAGAGGACATGAGCAGGAAAGAAACTAAAAGGCACCATCAGATGAGCGTACAGGAGCCCCGTGGCAGAAGCAGCCCCTGAGCAGGGGAGGCTGGTAGCCCTCAGCCACACAGCGTGGCCTCAGTCCCTAGGCCAGGGCCTGTCCGTGCCTCTAGAGCCCCTTCAGTGTCCAAAATGGATCCAATATTCTTTTCCCTGAGTCTGAACTTGGCCCCAGAATCCTTTCTAATACATCCTGCAGACCAGCATAACCAGGGCGCGAGCTAGCAGCTGATGAAGCCTGTTGTCATCTCTCCTCTAGGCCGTCCCTGAGTGCAGACAGGATACAGGTTCCTGGGCCACTGGGACAGTGGCCTACCTGACGGCTGGCTTCCTCTCTCCTTCTTCTCCCCTCTAGGGTGTTCACCGTGATTCTGGAACAGGTTAACGTCATCCAAAGCCACACAGCCCCCCTGAGCAACAAAGGGGCCGGCCTGGACGTCAAGGCCCTGAGAGCCTTCCGTGTGCTCAGACCCCTCCGGCTGGTGTCGGGGGTGCCCAGTGGGTGGCATTGCCTCTGCAGACCCATCCTCCCTTCCCTAGCCTACTTCTGGGTCCCCCTCTCCTTTGGTGTCCAGAGTCTTCCCAAGAGCTGTTGAGAGGGAGGGCCATGAGACCCAGAGGGGAGGCGACACCCCCTTTCTCCTCCCGCCCTCACTGCAGGCCTGCAGGTGGTCCTCAACTCCATCTTCAAGGCCATGCTCCCCTTGTTCCACATCGCCCTGCTCGTCCTCTTCATGGTCATCATTTACGCCATCATTGGGCTGGAGCTTTTCAAGGGCAAGATGCACAAGACTTGCTACTTCACTGGGACAGGTGAGCCCCTGGAGGCTGAGGATGGTCCTGGACAGCCCGAGGGGAGCTGCCGCCCCAGGACTAGGCCAGTGTTCCCACGCCTGTTGACCTTGGGCACAGTTTCCCCAGGACAAGAGGATCTGGGAGAAGGATGGCTCAGCGACCAGGGGCGTGGGCCAGGGCCAGGGATGGCTTGCTCGGAACTAGACCCTTCGCTCCCTAAATGTTGTCTCTGGGCCAGGTGTGGACTGAGCTGCAGTCTCAAGATAAACCTCAATTTCTTGCTGTACTTTTCCTGTAGTCATAGTTTTAGCTTTAGCCTGGAATCCACAGGATCAGATCTAAATTAAAAAACTAGGGACCTCGAGAAAGCCCCCAAGAACTAAAGGGATCCTTTGTAAGGTGGTCAGAGGTTACCCGAGCCCGATGTCTTGAGTTAAGCCTTCAAAACCTGCAGTTCTCCAACTGTTGGTTCTCTTCTCTACCATCTTTGCATGTTTAGAGGATCAAGGACTTCAAAGAGCTTTTATTGACATGGTTTTTACCCATTGGTGTTTCTAGTATTCAAGGTAAACAATGAACATGACATGTCAATTTGTGAATCACCATAAGAAAACATACGTGTCGCGTATGTGGGGTACAAGTGGCCCTAGACTTGTTACACACAGATCTTAAACGCTCCTGACATCTCTCCTCCCATTACCTCTGCCTCCTACGTTCTCACACTCACACTTGCATCGCCTTCCACCTGCAGATATCGTGGCCACAGTGGAAAACGAGAAGCCCTCACCCTGTGCCCGGATGGGCTCAGGGCGCCGGTGCACCATCAATGGCAGCGAGTGTCGGGGTGGCTGGCCGGGGCCCAACCACGGTATCACCCACTTCGACAACTTCGGCTTCTCCATGCTCACCGTGTACCAGTGCATCACCATGGAGGGCTGGACCGACGTCCTTTACTGGGTGGGTCTGGGCCCGTGCCTGCCTGGGGAGTCCCCTGCCCCCCACTCCCCTGGTCTTGTTGGAGGAGGTGGGGGCGAGTCTGCCAGTCACTGTGGGGCTCCTGTCACTCTCCCTGGGAAATGCACACCAGTGTTTTTGAGCAGTCCGCAAGGCTGCTGTCCAGAGAGATGGGGCGCTAGGACAGGGCTCCTGGATTCTGCTCTCAATTCCTTGCTTTTCCTTAAGACTCACTGAACAGCTCATCCCTAATATCCTAGAGCCTTCAATTTCATGAGGAAGGGCCTGAGGAAATCTCTCACTGAGCCTCTCTTTTTGCCACCAGGCAAAGCTGTATTCTGGTCTCTGCTTTCCAGTATTGGATTCATCAGTTGTCAGTTCTTTGTATGTGAGAGTAACACAGCGACACTGCCTGTGTTGTGGGGTCACTGTGATGGGGGCAGGACTGACTGAGCTACCAGAGCCAGCATTATAGATGCTAGATGTTCTGTAGGTTGTATTTCTCATGTCATCCTCCAATAATAGAAGGCAAGCTCTCATTTTATAGACAAGGAAACTGAGGCTCAGTATCGTCAGCACTGTTATGGGCCTAGTGACCAACTGAGCCATGGATCAGACTGTAATCCATCTGGCTCCAGTCCCAGAATCCTTAATCACAAGGTAGCATGCCTTTGGAGGCAAATAGAAAGAGTTTGTGTGAACAGTTCTCATAAAATCATATTATAGAGACAAATCATCAGACATTCCAAGGACCGACTGGTGTGATTTGACCTTTGTTACAAGCCTGTGGGCAGTGAGTACACTTCATTATCCTGGTTAGAGAGACAGGCTGATGTGTGGTGACTTGTCTAGGGTCAAAGAGGTTGTTCAGGAAGGATCTGGCCCAATTCAGACCAAAACTTTTAAGTGTCTCTTCTATTTTGAAAAATCTTGTCTGTAAAGAAACCAAGTGGCAATGGCATCCCTCAGGTCGTCAAGCCAGAGAGGTGGATGTTCATAGGGAGACATGGGTCACTGTCCTTGGCCAGGTCAACACTCAGCAATGCCCCTTGGGAGAGGCTGCCAGCTCGGGCCTGGGCCTCAGGCCGGCACAGGTGCCCTGGCTGGGCCCAGATGGGCTCTCTTCTTGTTCCCCAGTCAGGGACAGGTCTCACACCTCTGTCCCCCCAGGTGAACGATGCCATTGGGAACGAGTGGCCCTGGATCTATTTTGTCACCCTGATTCTGCTGGGGTCCTTCTTCATCCTCAACCTGGTCCTGGGTGTCCTGAGTGGGTAAGGAAGCTCAGAGGCTGCTGGTAGAGAAAGAAGGGGAGGAGGAACAAGGAGAGGTGGAGCAGGACAGGGCTGGAGTCTGCACAGCCCTGGAGCTTCTTTAGATAATCACACGTCCTGCCTATCGAGGAAGAGCTGGGACGTGCTGATGCAGACAGAAGGATTTTTATTTTCTTTCCTTTTCCCTAAGCTCATGTTCAATGCTGAGTCCCAAAACCTTGAGGTTAAGCACAGACGGTGGGGACGAGACTGCCCAAGTTTATACCCTTGGGGTAGCTCTGTGACCTCTGTTGCTGTGTGACTTTTGTTAAATTACCTGAACTCTCTGTGCCTCGCTGCCTATGTCTGCCAAATAGGTATAATTTCAGTTCCTGTTTCATCAGGATGGGGAAATGATTTGATGAGTCAATCTGTGTGAAGACCTTAGACCCGAGTCCAGCATGGTATCGGCGCTCAGTGTGATGGTCTTTCTCCATGAGCGCCCTCCTCTCTGAGCAGCTCTGAAGCTGCCTGTCTGCCTGGCCACAGTGAAGAGCCTAGAAGCCAGCAGCAGTCCTATCCCATAGCCAGAAGCTTCACAAGATATTATGCAGACAGAATGTAAATAGGAAAAACCTGTCACTTTTTATTAACTCTAACTGAAATAGTGTTTCCTTCCACTATGAACTTCGGCTCCAAGCCACAGTGGTGGTAGCACTGCCTGTGACCTGCCAGATCACTGTTCCTGTCCCCTCACAATCATTGCAAATATCCTTTACACTCATCACCGCTTTGAAATAATGATAGTTACTAGGCCTGCGATGAGCTCTCACGAGGGAATCAGTTAATAAAGATACGTATATTGCTTTAAGACAATTTCTTCATATTTGAACAACTATATTTGAATATGATTGGTCCCTTTGGAATGCTATGGTTTTACTTTGTGCATTTTGCAACATTCATCTGAAGAGGGACCTGTAAGTTTCACGCGATTAGCAAAGGGTCAAATTGGTCAAGAGCCCCCACCTGCCCCTGAGTTGGTGCTGAGGCCCAAGAAATGGGGCCACAGGCCTGTGAGTGACCCCTCCCTGCCCCTCAGCTCCAGCTCCTCAGAGCGATGACTGAGTTGGGGCCACCCTTTTCCCACCCTGCTTTCTGGCTGGGCTGCCTCTGCCGAAGATCCCTCCATGACCCTCGAGTTCTTTCCTTCCCCTGCCGTCTGGCTGCTTTTGGGCCTAGACCTGAGATCCGCAATCTCTAAGCTTTGAGAGCCAACTTAAAGGGTCATACCAGCGTGGAAAATTTGACTCCGTTAGGATAATAGACTGTTATACCAATAACCTCTAGTGTCCAAGGGAACCCCAAGGCAAGGCAGGAGAAATAACTTGAGACAAGAAGACATGGAATAAGGTGGCTGAGCACTCCCAGCCTTGCTGAGGGTGAGGATGATGGAATGGGGTGGGGGTGAGAGGGGCTGCCCTCCAGCCACCAAGGAGGGCGCTGGTGCTCCAGGAAATACCCTTGGGCCAGAAGAAGTGGACACAGAACATGGAAACTCCTGCCTCAGCCCTTTTCTCCCCCCTCCTCCCCCCATCCCCCGCCATCTCTCCTGTTCCATTTCAGAGAATTCACCAAGGAGCGGGAGAAGGCCAAGTCCAGGGGGACTTTCCAGAAGCTCCGGGAGAAGCAGCAGCTGGAGGAGGATCTGCGTGGCTATATGAGCTGGATCACGCAGGGCGAGGTCATGGACGTGGATGACCTGAGAGAAGGTTCGGGCCAAGGGCCGCACTCAGTGCCCTCTCCCCTGCTTTGAGCTGCCCCTCTCGGTGTGCCCCCAGGGAGAGAGCATGACCTCATTTAACCTCCTGTGAGCCACCCAGCAAGCATTACCTGGCCACTCTGCAGACACCTAAGCTACAGCCCTGGTGTATGGGTGATGTTTTGTCCCAACTTCTGTGACGGACCGAAAGAAAGGAAAGCGGGAGGCAGGAAGGCTGAGCAAGCAGAATTTATTGCTCCTGGACAGCAGCTGAGATGGAGCCCCTAGAGTGGGGTCCACAGTTACTGCCAGCCCTACAGGGGGAAAGGGTCTCTTATATAGATTCTAAACTCAAATTCCAAAAGGGTGACTCACCGCTATGTCCCTTGATGGAAGGCCCAGTTCGTTATCACCTTCATCTAGTCCCATCCCGGAAGCAAGGCCCCGTTAATTGGATGCAAGGCTCAGTTTATTACCGCCTTATCACCCTTGGATGCAAGGCCTAATTTATTACTGCCCTTATCCAGTCCCTCAGTAAATCTCCACACTTGGTCACTCCCAACAGGTGACTTGCTAAAATGTAGCCTTAGACCTCATGATGCTCCTATCCGGGGTGGTCAGGCCTCGCTCCTCCCACAGCACAAAGAGCCATCTGTGACCCATCCCTCCTGAGCAGATGGGGACCCTTCAGGGTTCCTCAATTCTTGGGACTCTGAGTCTCAGGGAGAAATAGTAGCATCCAGGTCACCTCAGGCCCCTGTCACAGGTGTCTCCAGTCAGTGGATCCCAGGGTCCCCAGCATGTCAGCCCCATGGGGACGAGCAGGCTGGCTCACTGGCCCTCTCCTGTCCCCAGGGAAGTTGTCTTTGGAAGAAGGCGGCTCTGACACAGAAAGCCTGTATGAAATCGAGGGCTTGGACAAAATCATCAAGTTCATGTGAGTATCTGCCTGTCTGCCGGGCCCTCCCAGCCCAAGCTCCTGAGGCTTGGAGGTAGAGGTCAGTTGCTTCCCCGCGTAGTTTTAGAGCCGCTTTTCCAATTTTTCAGAAGGGCAGCCCTCCTGAGCAACTGCTTCCTGCTCTGAGGGCTTCCAAGTGGTCAGGCCTCAGGGAACCCTGTACCTCCAGGGAGGCGTGGAGCAGATGACCTAGTTACAGAGTCACAGGTGCAGCAGGAACCGGAGCGGGGGGCACAGGCTGCTGGGCTCCTACTCTCTGCTCAGAGGGAACTTGGGCAGGAAATTGGTCCCAGGAGCTCCTCTCTGGAAGGGGCGAGCAGCTCTGCAGGCAGGAGGTTGTGCACAGGTTCTCTGGCTCCAAGGTCCAGGCCTTTGTCTCAAGAGGATGGTACCTTTGTTTGGTTGGCTGGTTCCTTTTCCAAATTCATGCATAACTGTGATTTTAAAGATCAATAGAGAAATACATCAAAGAAAAGATGAAGGTCCCCACTGCCCTGCCAACGGTAACCATGGTAACAGTTAGATGCATAGCCCTCCAAGACCTATATCTGCTTCTCTCTTTCTGTCTCTCGCACACACGCATGCACACACTCACACATACAGAGGTTTGGTTTGGTTTTAACGTTTTACGAGGTTTGTTTTTTTTGTTAATGACTGGCACCTCAGTGCCTAAAACAGTGCCTGACATATATGCCGAATATTTGCTGAGTAAAGGAACGTGATAGACATGGGATCTAATAAATAAGACCTTGAACTTCAAATAATCAAAACTTCAAAAAATAAGAAATTGAAAGCAATTGTATACATCTAAACACACACATCTTTTTCTGTTAAGGTGCACAGCCAAGTCAAGGGGAAGGTACAGAGATTTCCCAGTTTTCCTGCCTTGCTCAGCACTGCCTCCCTGGGCTGTCCCACCCCAGGGGAATGCTCACCCAAAGGGTGAGCCTCCATTAACAAGTCATTGTCCCTGAGAGGGTGTGCCGCTTCCCTGAGGCTCACTCAGTTTTGTTCATTCAGTGGGTTGAGACAAACGTGTAGCGACCTGTGTCCATCTCTGCACCCCCATATGCAGTATACTCTCTGCTCTAAAATCCCTCCCATGTCTCCTAGTCACCCCTCCCTAGATCCACCCCTCACCATTCCTGCTCTGGAGTTTTGCTTTTTCCAGAGCATCCTATCATTGACCTGAAACCTTTTCAGATCAGCTTTTCTCCTCCGTAATGTGTATTCAAGGGTCTGTGTCTGTTCCGGGCCAACAGACACACACCTTCCTTTGTATATCTCCCGAGGCTGATATTTCACAAGGCGGATGTGCTGTCGTGTATTTAATCAGCCTCTCCAGTCTCGAGGCACAATCGGGGCCCCAGGGACTGTGTGAAGGGTAGCAAACCCTTCTGCTGGGCAGGTTCTAGAAAGTGCTGGGTCAGAAAGTAGGTGGTTTTTAAAGCTTGGTCAGCACTGATAGACTGCTCCCCAAAAGGCGACACTGGTGGTCCCCCACCCTCCCCAGCACCAGATATTATTAGTTTGTTAAAGAGTTGCTTTTAGTTGGCAAAATGTGGCTCCCCGTTGCTTTAATTCAAGTCCTTGGTGCCAGTTATGCGAAATGGGACATACTACCCAAAAAAAGCCAGCCACATCACTGTAAACACAAGAGGAAACTTCATGCAAGCTTAAGCTTGGGCCCAACCACAAGCCAGAGGCACCTGGATGGTAGGAAGGGCCCAGATCAAAGAGAAGGGCAGATTATATGGTCCCTTTTGGCAGGCAGGCCTCAGGACAAAGGGGTAGCTAATGATTGGTTTGGCTGACCTTTACATGATTTCCTAAATATGGTGAGGTTGGCTTTCGGCCATGGGATTGGCCCCCTACACCTTATCTATAAAAGAATGCAGGTTCCACCCAGGGGGGAGTAAAAGTTTCCCCTGGAATGGGGGTTTTAAAAACATGGCGCTGATTATGTTCTTCGGTGCCCCTACTCCAAGCCGGACTGTGTTGAGCACTTTGCATTCTCTGATCCCCTCTGAGCTTGGCGTCTACTATTCTCTGGAAGATGAAGAGCTCAGCTGCTCAGGGGCAAAATCTAGCCAGTCTGGCTCTGCTGCTCATGGCCTGGTGGCTTCGGGGGTTGGAGGGGAAAGCAGGTGGCCAGCGTGGCCAGTGCGAGTCTGACAGCCCGGGGAGGTGGGAGCTGGGGAGGAAGCAAGCAGCTCTTTGCTTCCACCTCCGGCCCCTCCCTCAGCCGACACTGGAGGCACTGGAACCGCATCTTTCGCTGGAAGTGCCACGACGTGGTGAAGTCCAGAGTCTTCTACTGGCTGGTCATCCTGATCGTCGCCCTCAACACTGTGTCCATCGCCTCTGAGCACCACCACCAGCCACTCTGGTTGACTCACTTGCAAGGTGAGGTGGGACAGAGGGAGGCTGGAAGAGGAGGCCGAAGGGCCAAGGCAGCCAGTGGTACCTCGGGGCGCACGGAAGCTTCTGGCCATCGGCTGGGAACTGTTTCCCAGTTCTCTGTTTCAGGGCACCGCAATGTGAACTGGGTGGCTTGTTTGCGGGTCCTCAACCGCGCGCTTAAAATTTAATTGTACTGCAGGCACACACTAAAGGGTCAATAATGTGTTTATTTACAAAGGGAAAGGAAAAGGTTACAACCCAGGGAAAGAGAGAGAAAGAGAGATACAAGTTAGTTAGAACGTCCTACCAGCTCTGCTGACTTGGAACTCCGATAGCACCCTGACAGCTCATCAAGAGCCAAGCGACCAGCCACCAGCCACGCGGTCCGATCCAGAGCGAGCCACACGGTCCAGAGAGAGGGAGCGTCTAACCTGGCTCCCTTCTATGCCCCCCAAAGTCCCAGAATGCCTGCTTAGCTCTGCCTTTGGTCCTCACAGTTCTCTCCCTGGTACTGCTGGGAGTTGTGGATTCAATAATTAGAGGAGCGGCTGGAATCCAGAAAATGGAGTAGGGGGTGGATTCCCCAAACTCTGCAGAATTCCTTTAGGACATCCTTTCCCTCTAAGAATTCCCCACTTTTGACTTCATACCACCATATCTCTGGTGGCACAGATCACAGGGTGTAGTGTTAAGAGACAGTCCACGTCAGGTTTCCACTTATGCAAAAGAAGCAGCAGTCACCAGCAGTGTTCATGAATGCCCAGTATGGCGGTCATTACTGGAAATAGTCCATCAGTATAGGTGAAGAGAAAAAAACTGGTATATATTCATACACACACACACACACAAGTAACAGATACAAGCAAAATTCTTTTAAAAAAAACTGGGTAAATGTTTCTAAAAACAAGTTCTCTGAACCTTGATCCCAACTTAACCCAACAATGTACAAATTATGTACAAAGTCAAGCTACCTTTTAACTATTTTTCTATTTTTGCGTAAAAGCACAGGGTGGACTAACCAAGCAGCCATTTTTAGTTGGCCTGGTTGGAACACTTCATATAGTGTCAGAGCCAATGCAACCCAGTTCACGCTGGGTTGCCCTATAATAGCAGAATGATGGGCTGTAGTGGGAAAATGATGACAATCAAGTCATCGAGCGGGCTCATGAAAGCGCTTGTACCTAAGCCTGCTAAATGTAGTCTGGTCTAGCTTCTCAGACACTAGTGCTCCTGCAACGGCCTGCCATCACCAGGTGTGGCCAGACCTTGAGGGTACCAAGGATGGTGCCGGGGCAGCGTGGGGGTCAGGGTGGAGGGCTCAGCCAGTGCCGAGACTGGCAGGCAGGCGATGAGGCTTGGGCTGCCGCCCTATAGATGTTGCCAACCGGGTGCTGCTGTCGCTCTTCACCGTGGAGATGCTGATGAAGATGTACGGGCTGGGCCTGCGCCAGTACTTCATGTCAGTCTTCAACCGCTTCGACTGCTTCGTGGTGTGCAGCGGTGTCCTGGAGATCCTGCTGGTGGAGTCAGGCGCCATGAACCCGTTGGGCATCTCTGTGCTGCGTTGCATCCGCCTGCTCCGGCTCTTCAAGATCACCAAGTGAGCGGGTGCCCATGCACCCCGTGGGGTGCAGGTTCACTTGGGTGGGGGGCCCTGACCCTCCCTTCCCTAAAGAAACTGTACCACGCCTCTTTGTTTTCCAGGCACACCCTGTGGGGTGCAGGTTCATGGGGACCCTGGCTCCCTCCCACTTTGTTTTCCCCCTCTTTTAGTTTTGCCTTGTCTCTTAACACTGTCCTATGGCAGGGCAGGGAGGACAGGTGTGGGAAAGGGGGAAAGAGGAAGAGAAAGGAGCGGGGAGGGGAGGAAAGGCGAGCAGGAGGAAGGAGGTGGGGTGAGGAGGAGACAGGACCAGAGGGAGCAGCGGAGGGGAGAGGCGGGTGGCGACGTGTGCATGTGTGCATGGGCCTGAGCATTTACTGAGCACCCACCTCTGGGCACGCTATCAGGCCCAGGGGCGAGGGGGCACAAAGGGAAGGGGTCTTTACTTTCAGGGGTCCTAGAAGCTGCAGAGCAGAGCTACTAATGAGTGTGAGGTGACTGAGGGACACAGGTCTCTGAACAGAGGGAAAAGTGGGCCAGAAGCCATGAGTCCAGGGCCGTCCAGCCCCGGAAGCCCTTCCCTGCTGCTTCCCTCAGCCCCGAGGCTCCCCGCCCCACACCCACCCAGGCCTCACGAGCACAGACGGCCTCTTTCCCCTTCATCCTCATCCTTCAGATACTGGACGTCACTAAGCAACCTGGTGGCTTCCCTGCTCAACTCTGTCCGCTCCATTGCCTCCCTGCTGCTGCTGCTCTTCCTCTTCATCGTCATCTTTGCCCTGCTGGGCATGCAGCTCTTCGGGGGCAGGTACGACTTTGAGGACACTGAGGAACGGCGCAGCAACTTTGACACCTTCCCGCAGGCCCTCATCAGTGTCTTCCAGGTAGGTGTGTTTGGCTGCTGAATCCCACTTCTCCACCCTCGCGATCAGGACGGGCATCACCTCCTCCAGGAAGCCTCCTCTGATTGACTGGTCTGAGCTCAGGCTTCCTTATCAGCTGTGTTTCTCTGCCTTGTCACCATTGCTTATCTGATTCCTCCTGAGACTAGTCACAATGCCCAGTTGTCCTATTTGTCTGTCCCTGGGGCTCAGCAGACTGCTGGCTTACTGCAGGGCCATAGTTAGTGTTAGGACCAAGCTGCTCATATTTCTGAGCTCAGGGTCACGCAAGGTGAGCTGTCCCGCCCCAAGCAACGAAAGCCCTGGAGAAACACAAACCATTTCTCGCTCAGCAACATTCACTAGAAACCACCCAAGGGAGCTTGGCTGTGAGTCCCAGAAAGGCTTTCAGGCCCACAGGCCCCCTGAGGCTCTCCCTCGGTGTAGAGCAGAGGAAAGCACCCCTCTGTTCCAGCTAGTAGCTTCTGACTTAACCACAGGAAGGGCAGTGTGTGATAACCGGTTGACCTGCACATGGCTTCACCCTCCCTGGCTTATGCACCTCACTGCTAACCAGCCCCGATGTCTTTCCAAGCACTTGAGGTGTCGGCTAGGGTGACGGGCGGCCTGGATGGGGTCAGTGGAGTTAAGCCTGAGCTTTGGGAACAGAGTGCATGGAAGCAGTCTCTCCGCCCTGGAGGAAGCCCTAGGAGGAGAAGGGGCCCTCTCGTCTTAGTGTGGATGTGGAGAGGAAGGTAGGGGGGGGACCAGCCAAGTGGGAAGGGGGCTTTGGACACTGTAGTCCTAGCAGGAGACTCAAGCAACCCTCTATGTCCCCTCCTCCCTCCCCGCCCAGGTCCTGACAGGGGAGGACTGGACCTCCGTGATGTACAACGGGATCATGGCCTACGGCGGCCCGTCCTACCCCGGAGTGCTCGTGTGCATTTATTTCATCATCCTGTTCATCTGTGGCAACTGTATCCCCTTGGGAACAGGGTGCAGGAAAGAGCTCAGGGAGTGTCCAGAGAGGATCTTGGTTGGTGGGGTGCCCACTCTCAGGGCAGCCAGATCTCTTCTGGCTGGAGGGGTCTGTCCGAGGCTCACGGGGGCCTGTGAGGGCAAGGGGTAGGACGTCGTATATACATAACAGATGCAGGTGTGATGGTGGGTCTATCCCTTCCTCTGAGAAGGCTAGAGAACCACAGGGTGGTCCAGGGAAGCTAGCAAGCCTGGCGCAGGAGGGGGGCCAATGAGCAGTGAAGGTGGCAGGGGGAACCTGGGCCAAAGGTTCATGGGGAAGAACCGGGAGCTTGGCAGTTGGAGCTCCAGGAGATGGCAGAGAGAGCTGGCAGTGAAGGTGGCAGGGGGAACCTGGGCCAAATGTTATTGGGGAAGAACCAGGAGGCCGGCAGTTGGAGCTCCAGGAGATGGCAGAGCGAGCTGGCAGTGCCCAGGGCCCTCATCCTGCACCCGGAATTTGATGGGGGTGGCAGGGTGGGGTGGGGGAAGGGGAGAACTGGTCCTGAGCGCTTCTGTACTGATTCCTGCTCACTGTGCTTCACCCACTGGAACAGAAGTGGACTAGTCAAAGGCCAGGGTATTTCCTGAGCACCCTCTGCGGACAGGCCCTGAGGGCTCTGTCTATGTCCCTGGGCTCATGTCCTCCCATGGGGAGAGGAGCACCAATGACGCCACCCGGGGCAGGCTCGGAGGTGCCAGCGCACAGCAGGGCAGGACTCTGACTCCAGGGGCTTCCCATTGACCACGACCCCAGGCTCCTTAGCAAAGGCCCTCAGATATCCTGCTCAACGTCTTCCTGGCCATCGCTGTGGACAACCTGGCTGAGGCGGAGAGCCTCACTTCTGCCCAGAAGGCCAAGGCCGAGGAGAGGAAGCGCAGGAAGCTGTCCAAGTGAGTGTGAAGTCCTCAGGCCGGAGGGACCTGGAATGAGCACCCAAGGGTGCAGTCCCAGCTCCAGCCTGATGTGTGGGGTCCATGCCCAGGATGGGGCAGCTCCCAACACTCGCCATCTGGTCCTGCCTGAAGTCCTGGGAGGTGTCCCTAGGGGAAGGCTGACTTCTGGGGTATCCATCCATGAGCCTGGTACTTACCTCTCATCTGGGATCTCGCTGTGGAGTGAAGCAGGCACAGTCTTCTAGACAGAGTTCTCAAGCTTCATAATAATTGAGCTACCTGAGGATCTCCTTCAATGCTGGCTCGGGCTCAGGAAGTCTGCAGGGCACTGTGGTCCTCTGACCCTCCCCAGCTCCAAGCCAGTGCCAGGAGCTGCCCTGAGTGGCTGAAGATGAAGACCTGCTCGTCCAGCACCTATGGGGATGCTGGCCCCTCCTGGCAGAAGCAAGATGGAAGAGAGAGAGGGAGATCAGCAGTCCTGACTCTACAGAGACATTTCCAGAGAACTGAGCCCCATCATGGGCCAAACCAAGCAGCCATGCTACGCTGCACATTCTTCATGACCCAGGAGCAAAACCCCTTTCCACCTGCTTGCCGAGCACTGAGCATGGGGTCCAGCTGAGGCCCCTGGTCACAGAAGAGAGGCTGGCCCGGGCCTGTGTCATTCCACCGGGCAGCCCGTCCTCCCTACAGCTCCTGTATCCTTGGTTCACGGTCTCTTCAGGGTGTTTGCATTATAAGCAGAACCCAAGCAATTTCTAGCTGGGCCTCCACTTTGGGCTTTCTTGGTCTTCCAACTCAGGGGTCTCCCAGACAAGTCGGAGGAGGAGAAGTCAGTGATGGCCAGGAAGCTGGAACAGAAACCCAAGGGCGAGAACATCCCCACCACCGCCAAGGTAGGCCTGTCAGGTTGGGGGGGTTCAGAGGCAGGAAGGGGAGAATACACTGAAAGGTCGCTGGCTCAGCCCTGTGCCCTAGGGTGCTGGCAGGGCGGGTTGGGGCTGGGAGAGTGGTTCTCTACCTGGTGAGGGCATCTCCTCGACCCCCATGCCAGGTTGCTGCAGTGGTTTCCGTTCCTGCAAGAGGTCATTGTCCTGAGCTGCACAGACACCCCAAGCTGAGCACCAGTTTCCTCAGAGTCCCAGCTCCCCACCCCCAGCAAGGGCCTCAATACTATCCAAGAAGTGGCCTCGACTGGCTCCCCACCTGTGTGTTCCCCCGGCTCTGTCCAATCCTTATGGAGGCTGAGGAAGCAGAGGTCAAAGGGCAAGAGAGCTGGGCCCCAAGCAGCTGGCACCCTGCAGAGCCAAAAGGGGAGAGTGCCAATAGCTGGGTCCTGGCTTCGTCCAGGGGTGACTTTGGGCACATGGCCTCACCTTTCTGGGTCTGGTTTCTCCCCTGTAAACAGGGCTGACCCTACCATTACCCATCCTCAGGCTGTCGGGAGGGTGCTGACACTGCCGCCCCCAGCGATGGCTCAGCAAGTAGAAACTGCGGCTCTGGCTTTCTTCATCTTCATTCTGTTCCTTCCTGCAGCTGAAAATCGATGAGTTTGAATCAAATGTGAACGAGGTGAAGGACCCCTACCCCTCGGCTGACTTCCCAGGTGCGGGTGCTGGGGTCCTGGGGGAGGGGTGCTGGGGTTGAGTTTCCCCCAGGGATCCATGCTTTTGTGTCCCCTACCTGGCTCCCCCCATGACATCAGGACAGAGACTTCCCTTCTGCAGCCAGTTGTATAAATGATCCGCCAGCCGGCCTCTCTCTAGAATGCATGCAATAGAAAAGGCCACCATTTTACTGTCATTAATTAAACAAGCCGGGGGACCACGCTATGCTTCCATGCTGAGGACTTATGGGTAGAGTCTTCCAGGGCAGCCGTGTGGAACAGGTAAGGTGAGTCCACCCACGTGGTGCAGGAGCTGGCACGTTCCTGGCCGTCCGGTGTCCAGCAGCCCGGGGCTGTGCCATTGTAGGCACCATGCAGACCAGCAGCGCAGGGGTACCTGGGGAATCTTAAAAGAAGGTGACGAGGGCCCGTGAGAGGAAGGATGGCCTAGTCTCTGCCATGAGTCAGCATCTCGCAAACACAAGGAACAGGTGGCTGCAGCAGAAAGCCTGCCCACCGCTGCACAGACAGAACACGTCAGGGGGCAGAATCAGACGGGGCTCAGTGAGAAAGGCCGCTGATGAGCCGAGGTGCCCTGCAGCTCTGGGCTCCCCCCAAAACGCCTCCCAGGCCCCGCAGAGTCCTGGGTCACTGGTGCTGTTTCGTGAGCAGTTGTGAATCGGCTGGTTGGCACCTGTCTACCCTCCCGATTCAAAGCTCCAGGGAGACTTTTTGTGCCCCAAATGGCACAGTGTTTGGCACGAGCAGGCACTCAATAAATGGGATGAAAACATGGATTTTCACCAAGGGTAGTATGGGGAGAATGGAGCTGGTCCGGGTAAGACGGGTGTGTTTCTCCAAGTATCTGACAGAAATGAACGCATGGCTGGAATGGCTCATTCTGAGCTGTTTCACACATGCCAAGATGGTGAGAACAGAGCCCAGGGCTCCTGGCTGCCCAGAGGGCCACCAGGGGCCAGCAGGATTGGGATGGGGGCTGCGGGGTGAGGCAACCGAGGGACTTGGCAAGTGCTTGCCCACAAGGGACACCCCAATTTCCTTCCTTCTCCTGCCTGATCTTTGGATCCCGCTGCAAACTGCAGTTGTAAGCCCCCCTCAAAGTCATGAGACCCAGCCTGTGGGCCTGTGGGTCCACTTCTCCCTCCTCTACCTGCATCTACCCTAGCAGCTGCCACCGTAGGGGGCCTGGGTAGACCTCAAGAAATAGATTTTTTTTTTATGTTGGCAGTCTCTCTCTGAAATACTAGTTTTAGAACCCTAGCCCAGGGGAGGACCTCCGAATCCATGATTTTAATGTGTTTCCTACCCACCTCGCTAATTTCCTGAATCGGGAAGCTCAAACTGCCTGGTACAGCAAGGTAGGGGCACAGGCAGGGCCAGAACTCAGGTCTGCTCTGAAGCAGGTATCCCATGCACCCCACAAGCTCACGAACATTTGAGAGAGTGTCACAGCTGTGAGACAGAAGATACAACAGTGAAGATCCTAGGCTGACTCTGGCCCGTTCTAGAAGATTCTGGGCTTGCCTCCCCTGCCCCTAACAGTTTCAAGACTACTCACTGCAGGGAAGGGAGAGCAGGAGCTGGACTGTACTGACATCCTCATGCCCTGGGCTGGCCTGGCACCCCCTTTTGCCTGCTGGTTGCTGGGGAGTCCTGGTTGGGTTCAGAGCACAGAAGCCCAATTTCTCTCCTGTTTCCACTTCCCTCAGGGGATGATGAAGAAGATGAGCCTGAGATCCCGCTGAGCCCCCGGCCACGACCACTGGCTGAGCTACAGCTGAAGGAGAAGGCTGTGCCCATTCCCGAAGCCAGCTCCTTCTTCATCTTCAGCCCCACCAATAAGTGGGTGGCCCCTTGACTGCTGTGCACAGAGGGATTGAGGGGCAGGGCACTCAGAGAGGACCCTACTCTGGAAAGACCTCTGTCTCCTGGTTCTCGGGACCTAACTCCTTCCCAGAGCTTCAGATCACGGGCCCTGTTAAAAATGCTGCTCTCGGTGACCCCACCAGCTCCCTATACTGGGGGGCTGAGCATACTGGTTGCTTTCCAAGAGCATTTTCTGATAGTCGAGAGATTGAGAACTGGGGGAGTCGTAGTTCTTACTGGCTTCAGTTTTACACCTTTCCCAAATATGTGGGGTGTAGCCTTCGTGGGGGCCCCTCTGTCTGCCTTGGGGGTGGGGGACAGCCCACATGTGTTGGTGGGGAAACTGTGGGGTGGTGGTGGGAAATTGGGACACCCGGTTGAGAGTTGAGGGGATGGAATGTGGGGCCAGGCCCCTGCATATCCAGCCAGCAGGCCACCCCGGTACAGCTTGTAGTTCACCTCTCTGCGCTGAGCTGGGGGCCCAGTGCCCATGTCCCCAGCAGAGGGAGGCCGGTGAGGCCTGAGCGCCTGTGCTCACAGCCCCCGACCCTGCAGGATCCGCGTCCTGTGTCACCGCATCGTCAATGCCACCTGGTTCACCAACTTCATCCTGCTCTTCATCCTGCTCAGCAGTGCCGCCCTGGCCGCCGAGGACCCCATCCGGGCGGAGTCTGTGAGGAATCAGGTGCTGGCAGACCCGTCCTCTGCCGCCTCAGCACGCCCTCCCTCTCCAAGGCTCAGCGCCCGCACACCTCGCTGGTGCCTAGATCCATCTGTCTGCTCTATGTGGCTTTAGCCTGAGAATTTCCTAGAGTTTTAAGTCCTTGAAGCATCACAGACAGCCTCTTGTTACCTGGTTTCTGTGATGTTGACGGTGGTGGTGGTGATGGGTATGGGGTGGTGGTGGTGGTGATGCATGTAGGGATGGTGGGGTGATGTCATTGCTCTCTGCCCTTCCTCTCCCTGCTTCTCCCTCCGCTGCCTTGTCTCCAGATCCTTGGATACTTTGACATTGCCTTCACCTCAGTCTTCACGGTGGAGATTGTCCTCAAGGCGAGTAAGGGGTATGGAATAGTCTGGGCGAGGAGTGACCCCATGTCAGGATCCAGACCTGCTGTGGCTCCGACTTGCACACACTGCACTCATTCAGGTCCTGGATCTTAGGGGAAAAGGAAAGCAAGAAGAAGCCAAGGAGAAACAGGAAAGTCTCTCAGGACCCAGGAGACTAGACAGGGTTTTAGCTCCTAAGCTGGGAGAGCCAGTGAACAGGGGCATGGCTGGGCCCGCCAGCCCTCTCGGGAAAGCATCAGATGCTTCAAAGCTGCAGGCATTCTTCTTCCATGTTGAAGGCACAACTAGGTTTGTGGTTTGTTCTGAGACCTTTGTTTCCTGTGCCTAGGAATCTTGCTCTTTCTAGGGTCCCCAGAGATGTGACTGTCACCCTGGGTTGGGTCTCAGGCAACTCTGCCCTGTTGTGCCCCAGACACTCGTTATCACAGCACATCTCTGCTCATCCATTCTTGAGCTGGACACCCTAGTAGAAAGGAGGGCAGAGGGGGAATCTGTGACTGTGACCCCATAGCCTCTGCCTTCAAGTCCACAAGCCAGGAGGGAGTAGGGAAGCTGCAGAGGACCACGCTGTTGTATTAAATCAGGACAGTGCCTTCCTCAAGCCTCAGATAGTAAAGGCATTGAGCAAAGAGAGATGGTGGCTTCCTGGAAGTCCAGGAGGACTTCCTGGAGGTGGTGACATTAACATTAAACCTTGAAATTGGACAGGACTTCATTAGGGAGAGCTAGCAAGGGCAGTCCAGGAGTCCAGAACAATGATAAGTACCTGGTCAGGATCTGCTCAGAGGAGAGAGTGGCCCCTCTGGGGCTGGGATACACATGCAGGAGAGTCCTAGAGTCAGCAGCTGGGAAAGAGTTGACATAAAATTGCACAGAGCCTTGAATGCCATGAAAAGCTTCAACCTACCAGACGTGAAGAACATAATGTGTTCGTACAAAGATTACTAGAGGTTATTAGAAAAAAGATGAAAGAAACTGAGAAGTAAAGAAACTGGGGGTGGAGTGGGGGCTGGGAAGGGGTGCAGAGGGAAGAGAAGGGATGGAGCCTGGTGACGTCCAGCCATCCTTAGCACAGAGGTGACTTCTGGGGAAGCTTCTGGTAGAAGTAGGAATGTTATTAAGTTCTGTAGCAGAGAGGACGGCCGGGCTGCCCCTCCCTTGGCTCATGGGGAAGAAGAAAGAGCCATGTCCAGTCTGGCAGAGCTGCTGAGAGTGGCTCTCAGGCTTCAAGAACACAGCAGCGGCTGGGAAGGGCTCTCGGGGGCCCACGGGAGCTGGGGGGGGCGGGGGGATGGCAGGCTGCTTGCCTTGATAATGCTCTTCCTGAGCGGACGGAGGCGAATGGCCCTCAAGAAGCCCTACCTGTGGGGCTGTCATCTCTCCCCAGATGACGACCTATGGTGCCTTCCTGCACAAAGGCTCCTTCTGCCGCAACTACTTCAACATCCTGGACCTGCTGGTGGTGGCTGTGTCCCTCATCTCCATGGGCCTCGAGTGAGCAATGACAGGGCTGGCCCTGGCCGTGGGCCCCCGGCTCCATACCAGGGCCCCAAAGCAGGCGTCATCCACTGTCTGCTGTGGGCCCCTCTCAGGCCATTGCTGGGGACAGGGGTCGCTTGGGTGTCAGAGCCAGGTCCTAAAGACCTGAGAAGCAGACCCCAGCTGCCTCGTGGGGGCAGTCAGCCCCGGCTCCTAGTCAGCTGGGAGAGAGAGCCTGGGGTCCCCCTAGAGTCACTGGATGTGACTCATGGACCAGAACACGGGTCCAGTTAGCAGGAGGCAGCTTCCTCCTGTGCAGGACACTCTCAGGAGCAGGGAGGCAAGAGACAGCGGTGTGCCCAGGAGGAGAGGAGCTGGAGGTGGGGGCAGCAGGAGTCAGCCACCCTAGCCCCTGCACCCCCTGCCGCGGCCTCCAGGTCCAGTGCCATCTCGGTGGTGAAAATCCTGAGGGTGCTGAGGGTGCTCCGGCCCCTCCGGGCCATCAACAGAGCCAAAGGGCTGAAGGTGAGTGACCAGGGGGCGGGGAGGGGGGTGTGGGGAGGAGAGGCCCTGACGAAGCCCCAGCCCTGGACCTCTCAGCCCAGGCACCAGCTGCTCCCTTTTGCCAGCAACAATTAAAGGTGGGGCTGAGGCGTCCACTCCCACATGTCCCAGCCTGCAACTAGCGAGAGGCAGTAAAGCTTGCTCTTGTGGGGCCCCATCTTGGTTCCACATGCCTCCCCTCCCTGCAGCACGTGGTGCAGTGTATGTTCGTGGCCATCAGCACTATCGGGAATATTGTCCTGGTCACCACCTTCCTACAGTTCATGTTCGCCTGCATTGGCGTCCAGCTCTTCAAGGTGAGCCCACTTCCCGAAGCCCAGCAATGGTGAATCAGGCAGGAGAGGGTCTGTTCCCCCCCACCCCACCAAGTGCAAGGAGCACGGTTTGGGGGTGAAGCTGCATTGGGTCTATGCAGTGTCCTAGCTGATGCTCTGTCCGGTGGCCTCTGTGCCGCTGCGTCCGCTGTCTGTTTGCTTCTGGGCTTCTCCCCAAGAACCGTGTGTGTGTGGGGGGGGGACTGCATCACCCCTCCCCATTGTGACCCTTGACCCCTCCCCCCATCCTTCCTGACCTATCTAAACCCTGCTCCCAGCTCAGCCCCCTCAGCTGCCCCATCACTCAGCTGGGCTCCTGTACCTAGGCTCCCAGGTGTGTCTGGCAGCTACCAGGGCCTTCCCGATAGAGAGTCAGTGGTTTTGCCAGGAGCTGCCTCACTCTGTCCTCGCCTTCCTGGGAGAGCTGTTCTCAGCTGCTCTGGGACCCAGCCCCATACGGGCGCCCATCCCAGGCAGCGGACTTCCCGTGCCTCTGACTTGCCTATCTTCTGCAAGACCCTCTGACATCTGGTGGCCCCCTTTCCCAACTGGAGGGGCAACCTACTCCTGCCCCCAAAGCATGAGCTTTTAAATGCATAAAAGTATGACCACAGTCAGACTTAGGGGTGCAACATCGTCATCTTATAAGTATCCATTCATCCAGCATGGAGGGAACATCTGCCAGGGCCTTGCTAGCGCTCAGGTGGGGGCGCAGGGTGCTAGGGTGAGGAGCTGCGTGTGGCCTTCTCCTCCTGGCTCCTCCTGGGCTGCTCCCTCACCCCTGTCGCCTGCCTCCTCCTCTGCCAGTCTGGGGGCAAAGCAGGCAGTCCCCCTGCGTTTTAGTCTCTCATCAAGACCCCAGTTCCGACCCACCCAGATAACAGCAAACGTCCCTTGCCAGCCTTCTTGGCACCACGTTGTGGAAACGTGACATCTGCAAGCCAGAGGCTAGCTTGCTTTCCACAATAAACGGGGTGTTAGGTTTCAGCAGCCCTGAAGCCTTCCTGGTGGCAGCTGTGTCCCCCTACCTCCCCGCACCCTCCCCTCCCACTTCTCCCATGTCTGCCCCCCCCTTCCCCTTGCCCCCACAGCCATCTAGGGTGGTTTGTGAGGAAGGCGGGAAGCAGCCTTCCCCTGCTCCCGGCTGGCTCCGTGCCTAAGACTTTCTTCCTCTCTGAGCCTTGAAGGGAACCAGCCCAGCTCAATTTGGACACATTAAGACCTGTCATGGGCACCCTTAGTTCATACTGAATCTGTAGGTGCCCTCTACGTGATGTAGAAAAAAGAGGAAATTGGTCTGGCTGAGCTCAGTCTGGGGGAGCACAGCGTACACCTACTCAGGCCCTGGGGTGAGGGGTGCGGCCTCCTGTCGACTCCCAGTCACACTGTCATCACAAGGCCATGCTCTGTCCTGTGCTCCTGCCCCACAACCACCCCCTGCAGGAGGAAGGAGGTGGGAGTGGGGTAACCCTGCTCTGAATGGGGAGCCCCAGGATGACCTCCTGCAGCAGTGGGGGGCAAGGCAGAGTGGGGGCCCAGGTTCAGTCATGATTCCTTGCCCAGGCCCAGCCTGGGTGCTCAGTGAATCTGTCTTGGGTCTGGCAGCCTCTGGGCCCGGTGGGGAAGGCCATGGGCTGGCTGAGGGATGGGGGACGGGGAAGGAGAAAGATTCTCGGGGGCCCGCCTCTCAGGGGAAGAGGACAGTTTCCTCCTTCCAAATACCCTGACTCCCCTTCTCCTGCCTCATGGCCACACCTTGCCGCGCTTTTCCAACCTGTTCCACAACGTGTCTCCCCTTTCCTGGGTGCAGGGGAAGTTCTTCAGCTGCAACGACTTATCCAAGATGACAGAAGAGGAGTGCAGGTGTGCCAGGCTCTGTGAGCTATGGTGCAGGGCCGCCAGATGGGCGGCAGCGGGACCCCTCAGGCTGGAACCCGGGATGTTCAGAGGCCCCTTTCCTTGGGTAACTGTGGGACAGAAAGGCCCGTAGGGCCCCTTTTATCCTGGGTTGACATTCACGTCCCCAGTGCACCCATTGCCCAGGGCCCAGAGGACACGCTGCCAGGCACTGAATGGTGGGGAGGCTTATTAATAGTGGGGTGGAGACAGCCCCATGCACATGAAGTGACTGCCCCCCCACCCCCACCGCAGGGGCTATTACTACGTGTACAAGGACGGGGACCCCACGCAGATACAGCTGCGTCGACGCGAGTGGGTTCACAACGACTTCCACTTCGACAACGTGTTCTCAGCCATGATGTCGCTCTTCACAGTCTCCACTTTTGAGGGGTGGCCTCAGTGAGTGAGGGTGGGGCTGGGGCCAGCACAGACCAGTAGGGGCCACCCCCACTGCTCCCCCAGGCCCGTGGCAGGCACTCACAAACCCCACCACCTCCAATGGCTTGTAGAACTGGGGGTAGACGGGTTACTCAAAGGGAGCCTGACCAAGGGCCCCAGATGAGATTCACCCCAAACCCTCTCTGCTCACATGGGGAGTCCTACTGATAGACTAAGGAGAGATGGGCATGAAAAGGCAGACCCTTTCCAGGATCTGTTCCTATCTTTCCTAACCTCTCTGCCATCACCTGGCTGTTCACAAGCTCCCTGGCACCCCTGGCGGGTGGGACAGAGGCCACCTTCCCTGCCTGGCTCGCTGCCGCATCAGCCCAGCCCACCCTCCCATCTCTGCCCGCCCCCAGGCTTCTGTACAAGGCCATAGATTCACACGCAGAGGACATGGGCCCCATCTACAACAACCGCGTGGAGATGGCCATCTTCTTTATCATCTACATCATCCTCATCGCCTTCTTCATGATGAACATCTTTGTGGGCTTCGTCATCGTCACCTTCCAGGAGCAGGGAGAGACTGAATACAAGAACTGTGAGCTGGACAAGAACCAGGTGCCTGGGCCTCCAGCTGGAGATAGCTAGCAGAGCCCCACATATCCCTGCTGGCCTGGGCCCTAGGACTGGGGGGACCCCAAGCCTTCATTTGATACCTAGGCCAAATATCCATCCACTCTGCCCCACCTCCATCCGTAGACAATACAAGTCGGGGGGGCAGAGTCTTGTGAGTCCTTACCATGCCCGGGACAGGCCCCTGCTGGGCTGGAGCTGTTAGGACGGCCTTGTAATGGCTCCAGAGGAGCCTGGGCCCAATGGGACTGCTCTCCTAAATGGCCCAGATCCCAGCTTGCTCAGAATGCAGGGTCTCTAGAGGCCCAGGATGGGATGTGGGTGTGGAAGGGGGCAGGAGGTTGGCGCTGGGTGCTGACCCACCCTGTGTGTGCCATCTCAGCGCCAGTGTGTGCAGTATGCCCTGAAGGCCCGCCCACTGAGGTGCTACATCCCCAAAAACCCCTACCAGTACCAGGTATGGTACATCGTCACCTCCTCCTACTTCGAATACCTGATGTTCGCCCTCATCATGCTCAACACCATCTGCCTGGGCATGCAGGTGAGGCTCTCCAGGGAGCAGTGCCGGTGCCAGGGTCCTGGGCAGGGCAGGGTTCTGAGACACTTGTCCTAAGCACTGGCACTGAGAGGGAGGTGCGGTGCAGAGCTCAGAATGAGCTGACCCAGGCCTCGCCGAGGGCGCTGCAAGAGGCCCGCAGCAGAGGACACAGAAAGTGCTTTCTCTTTGTCTTCTGCTGCTGCAAATCTGGATGGCTAAGTTAGCTGGCATTTGGCTCCAGGCCCAGGAGAAATGGAGTTAGAACAGGTATCTCTCGGGACTCCGGCACTCTCCTTTATGGACAATGTCAGGACTGGTGCCGTGGCCACCCACCTTCCTTAAGGAACTGATCCTTCACAGCCCGGGAGAACAGGATCGCATGGCTAGGGTCCCTGGCCGGGAAGCCATGGGCACGTGCCGCCACACCTGCACACGTGGCCAGGTGACGGAGGAGCTTCTGGACACAGGCCCAGGCCAGGCAGGAGATCTCTAGTGATGGATACCAGCCAGGCAGCAGAACCGGGTGGCCCCAACAAGACAGGGTGGGTGGAGGCAGCCAGATCCTTCTCAACTAGCTTTTGCGGGACGAGTGGGATTTTCATTTCATCAGTTTTCTGAAAGGGGGCAAGAGAATCCTTATAAGGGGATAGGTGAAAGGAGGCCTGGGTGGTGATCAGGTGTTGGCTCTGAATGGCCTCACCATCCTGGGTGACAGCAGACAGTCCAGCTCCCGCCAGGAGTTGCTCATGCCAGCCCTGAGTTCTCTCTCCTAGTCCTGTGCCCAAAGGACTTGCAGAGCCCGACCCAGAGTCCTGCCTAGCAGACCTCCTGCCCTGTCACCCCAGAACAGGGAGGTAAATGAGCTCTGCCCCCACAGCAGAATGTGGGGCTGGAGCAGCTCTCCTCCTGTGTCCCCTGTTTGAGGGGGTAGCAATATCCATTAGATGTAGAATTCAAGGAATTGCTAAGTAGACTTTTGCTTTGTGCTTAGGAAAGCCTCAGGAAGGGGGGGCACCCAGGGAGAGGCTGGGCCAGCCCCACCACCCAGCCCCTCTCCTGTGCCCTCCACAGCACTACAACCAGTCAGAGCAGATGAACCACATCTCGGACATCCTCAATGTGGCCTTCACCATCATCTTCACTTTAGAGATGGTCCTCAAGCTCATGGCATTCAAGGCCAAGGTGAGTGTGGGGGTTCCAGGGCAAGATGAGCAGGTGGGGCCAGGTGGGGTGGGGCCTGCCCACAGCCTCCTCCTGAAAGGCCTCAGCCAGCATTTCGGCCCCTAATCCCTTGCCCACACTTACCTGCAGATACAGACAGGGCAGGCCAGGTATTCAGGCTGCAAGAGGGTGCAAGGGGTGGGAAGTATCTTGCTGTTCCTTTGGTCCCCAAGTTCTGTCCCAGCCACATCCTGTTAGATCTGCACTGTCCAGCCCCAGATTTCAAGGAGGGAAGGATGAAAGGCTCCCTGATGAGGACCAGGACCCCAGATTCTTTCCCTCTCCCCTTCAACCACTTTATGCTCTGGAGGAAGGGAAATAAAGAGCTGAAGGGAGAGAGGTTGCAGAGTGGACAGGCTCCCTGGCGCCCCAGTGGGGAGCGGAGCCTTGTTCACCCTACCTAGGCCTGGCCCAAGGGCTCCAGGTTACCTTGAGCAGACCACTGCCCTCTGCTGGCCACCAGAACGCCTGGCCACCAGCAACTCAGCACCTGTCCTTTTCCTCCCCAGGGCTATTTTGGAGACCCCTGGAATGTGTTTGACTTCTTGATTGTCATCGGCAGCATCATTGATGTCATCCTCAGTGAGATTGATGTGAGTGTCAGGCAGATGGAGCTGTTTCTGGGGTAGTTCCAAAGGTAGAAATGAAAAGTGGTGGCTTCTGCCCCTGGGGGCTACAACCCTGCAGAGCATACAGGTAACTCAGACCCTAGGGAGACATAGGGAGTGTGCCAGCCTGTCACAGCAAGAGCTGTCCTGGAAGGGCAAGATCACCTTTGGGACTAGTCAGGGAGACTTCCTGGAGGTGGTGTAATCCAGAGTGTTGCAGGGAGAGAAAAGCACGCATGCAAAGGCCCTGCAGTAGGAGTATTTGTGCTGAGTCTGAGGATGGAAAAGTCTCGTTGTCAAAGGCCGTGGCTACAATCTTGGGCTTTATTCTGAGAGATGGGAGCCCTCTGGAAGGTTTAAATCTGGTTTGACTTTAGTTCTCAAACGATCATTCTGACTACAGAGTTGAGAAACAGCTGTGGGTGCACAGGGCTGTTCAGGAGGAGCAGACAGGAAGCTATTTCAACAATCTAAATGAGAAAAGGTAGGTGCTCGCTGCACAGATGGTGAGAAGTGGCCGGCATCTGGGTTGTTGTGGAAGCTTGAGCTGATAGGTTTTGTTTATGGACTTGACTTGGGTGGGGGGAGAGGAAGCAAGGCTGACTGCAGGGGCCACACCCTGTCAGATCTGCTCTGTCCAGCGGACAGCCGCCTGCAGTGTGGTGGCGCCAGAGGCACGGGTGGGGGCCGGTATCGAACGCCCTGCTGTGGACACGGCACAAGGAGGCGTCCAGATTTACGAGGGCTCCGCATCGGAGCCACAGCGGTTTGGATTTGTGAGTCAGGGGTTCTGAGGCTAGGCCAGGCTCGAGCTATAAATCTGAGACTCATTTGAAGTTTTAGGGACGGATGGGCTGACCTCAGGGGAGGTATTTAGGGAGAAAATTTCCAAGGCTGAGCCCTTGGACATTCCAGTGTTTAGCACCTAGAGATGAGGCAGGACCAGCCATCAGGACAGAGAAGGGGCTGGCCATGGAGGGCTCTCGCGTGCCCAGCAGGGCCACGTGTGGCGCACGGGGCAGGGGCTTCTCGGGAAAGGGAGGTGGTGGTGTGAGCTGCGCTGGGACTCCTTAGCGACGGCTCCTGAGTAGAATAGTGTCCAGGAGGGGGATGGGGTGCCACCAGCCACAGGCAGGGCTGGGTGGGCCGTGTCAGCTGGGTCTCATCCTGGAGTCATGTCTGGCAGCCCAGAAGCCTTGGACAAGAGGGGAACAGCCAGCAATGAGGTGGCCAGGGCTCCAGCACACTGGGCAGTGTCCTAGAGGGCAAGGGTGTTGTTGAGATGTAGGCCCTGGGGCCCCACTGGAGAGGTGGGGAATGGCCCCAAGCTTGGGCCAGGAAGTGGATGGAGGGGACCAGCCAGGGTGGTAAACGGGCAGGACTGGGTCTGCCAGGGGAAGTGAGAGAAGGCAGGGTGGAGGTCTCAGCCAAAGAGGTCAAGCTGTCCAGGGTCGACTTCACTAAGTGTCTGAAGCTAGAGGTCCTGAGACATCTTCCCTCTGCCTCAGTCCCTGCCATGCCACGCGGGGCTGGGAATGGGAGGCTCAGGGGAGGAGACACTTGCTCATCTTTCCCAGCACCTCCCCCCATGGCTGTGACGGATCCCAGTTGGGGGGGGGGGGCAACCGGGGACAAGCCCCAAGGCCAGGATCTCATCCAGGTGCAGGTCTCCTGTACTTTGCACACTGCGCAGCACTAAGTACCTTAGACTCTGCCAGCCCAGGGTGGGTCAACCTCATGGGGGGAGGGAGGTGGGAGGGAGGGTGACACTGGAACCCGTTTGCAGCTGATGAAGAGGAGTCTGCAAGGAGCCCTTGCCTGAGACTCTGAGGGCTGAGCCCTGGCTGGGAGCAGCACCTTCTGGGAACTTGGCTGCCACATTGGCTTTGGGGCGTGGGGGGCAGGGTCAGGAATCCTGCTCACCCCATTGCACAGAACAGACAGTGACAGACCATCCGTCTGCCCAAAACCCAAGGGACAGTGTTAGCTGGAGGCGGATATGGGCAAATGTGTGTGTGTGTGTGCGCGCACGCAAATTTCTATCCACTCAGATTTTGCTGGGAAGTAGCATTCCCAAGGCCCTGAGGCTCCAAAGCAGCATTTTTTTTTTTAAAGATTTATTTATTTGTGCATACAGAACTGGGGTACAGGCCAGAGGCTTCACCAGAGACAGAGTGGGGAGCAGAACAGGCAGACTGTCGAAGTACACTGCTGAGGGGAGCAGCAGGCGGTCAGGAGAGGTCTGCCACGCCATGTGGTCACCTCCGGGGCAGGCGGGAATTGAACTCATGCGGAAGCGGCTTTAGATTCTCAGTGCTGTGCTTTAACCCGCTGCGCCACCAGGGAGGGCCCAAAGCAGCATTTTAATCATGCGAGATCAGAAGGACTCTAAGCAGTCAGAATAAACAGCAAATGAAAGGCAGTTACTTCTTGCAGTTTGGGCTGAGCTGGGGAGCCTGGATGAAAGGGCCCCCAGCCCCTTTATGGTAGAGGGTCACAGGTTGATTTTTAAGACCCCAGAGGTCATTGGTTGATTTTTAAGAGAAACATATTTCCTACCTACAAGTTGGCTTCAAGTCATTATAAGATTTCTATTGCTGAAAGTAGGGTGACCCTGTCTGTGGGGACTTCGTGAAAGGACAGAAATGTTCCACTCTGTCCAGCACAGTAGCCACTAAGCCACACGTGTCTCAAGGCCACGGAAACGTGGCTTGTGCAACTGGAGAATAGGATTGCTCACTTGGTCTAATTTCACTGCAATTCAAATAGCCACATGTGGCTGGTGGCCACCCATCAGTAGGTAACAGTCACCTGGGGTGCCTTTGACCCTCCAAAGCCAGGCTGATCCTCCCAAAGCCAACTTTTTCGGGTCACATTTATTTTTAAGATCTCCATGTGACACAAGCAGGTGCAAGCAGGGTTGAAAAACAGTGTTCCTGGGAAAATCTGCTCAAAAAAAGTTGTTTGGTGAAAAACCAGTCTGGGAACCAGACTTCCCTCAACTGTTTGGAAGATGAAACAATGATGTTCCCTGACCTTGCACTCTAGAACAGGCCCTCCTCATGAAATGAGGCCCAAGGAGGGTGCGGGGGTGGGGGGGTAGCAGTGGGGGGCTCTCAGTACATAGGAAGACATGCGTCCACACCCCAACACCTGCTCTCCAGGAGCCAGGCCTCTGACATGGCAGCCTGCGCCTGACCAAGCAGGGGGCAGAGAGGTGTCTGCTGTGGGGGTCTCAGGCTCCCCTAGAGGACCTTTGCCCTGGAAGATGGGACTTCTTAAAGGGCCTGAGTGGCACAGGGAGCTGGCTGGCACCCTGCACTCAGGGAGAGAGGGGTGTGGCCCACACCCACTGGGAGCCAGTACTTCCCACCGTGCCCTCTCCAGTGACCCCAGCCTCACAGAACCAGCCACGCAGGGGAACCCGCGAACCCCTTCAGCAGACACCTTTCAGAAAGAGAAGGGACTTCTCCGTGTCTGGTCTTCCCTCTTCTTCCTGTCCCTTGTCCCATTCTGTGGCCTTACTGTTCCCGAAGCTTCATCCTCAGCCCTGCCCACTCCCTGCCCCCACTGGCAGCCACTTGGGGTCCCCATGCCCTGCCTCTACCTTTTTTCTCTAATTCTTCTGTGTGTCTGTCCTTTCTGCCCCCTCTCCTCACCGCCCTCCCATGTGTCCCTCCTCCTCTCTCCCCACACCCCGCCCCTCGTCTCTTCTCTCCACAGACTTTCCTGGCCTCCAGCGGGGGACTGTATTGCCTGGGTGGAGGCTGCGGGAACGTTGTAATTCCAGGCTGCATGGGCCTGCCCGGCACCCCGCCCGCCTGCCCGCCCGCCAGCGCTCTCTCTGCCCTGCAGCGCATGCTTAGGCCTGGCCACTTGCACTGCATGGGGTGATCAGCACTCAGGCCCCTCCCAGAGGCCCCCCGCAGGCTCTGAGTTAGGGTGGGGGGCTCTGTAGCAGAATGTGCATGGGTAGACTGGCTTTGGAGTGGGGCGAGGGGCCTTTCTGGCATCCTCTCTGTGAGGGGAACATCCCGAGGGGACCGTGCTGCAGGAATTTGGTCACAGTTGACTGGCACAAGGCCTCTGGGGACACAGGAAGCTGGGTGGGGGCTCTCCCCTTCCAGAGTTATCCTGGTGTCAAAGGCTGGCACAGCGGCAGAGTCTGGCCTGGCTTCCAAACAGCGAGGGCAGGGCGGGTGGTGGGGAGCAGCCATGTGAGTGGACAGCAGCAGAGCAGCTGAGCCCTAGGGAGCCTTTGCAGGGGGCGGCCCTGGGGAGGCCCGGGGAGCGCTCTGGGGCCTCAGCTTCCTGGTGGCTTGAGGAGGTGACATGAGACAGGAGGCCCCAAAGGGCAGGCAGCTGGATCCACCCTGGTGGAATCCCTGCTACAGCTCCTGAGAGCAGGCCCTGGACACCTCTTGGTGCTCCATGACCATCATCCCATCCTGGCTGGACAAGACCCCTGGTCACAGCCAGAACCCGTCCCCTCCATGGACGTCACTCCCATTCTTGCCCCTACTGCTCTGCCTGCCCCCTCGCCTGCTGGGGTGCTGCTCCCAACTGACCTCTGGGGCTGCTGCCCCGCAGGATCCAGACGAGAGTGCCCGCATCTCCAGCGCCTTCTTCCGCCTGTTCCGGGTCATGAGGCTGATCAAGCTGCTGAGCCGGGCCGAGGGCGTGCGCACGCTGCTGTGGACGTTCATCAAGTCCTTCCAGGTGCGGCTTCTGCCCGCCCATCCAGCCAGGCCCGGTCTACTCATGGCCCCCTCCCCAGTCACTGCACTGACCTGGAGAGGCTGCTGGGGACATCTGCCAGCCCAGGGTGGCACTCTGGGGGTCTCGGGGCCCTGGAGAGCAGGCAGGGTGGCAAGACATGCGACGGGCAATGGCCCTGACCCTCTTCTTCCCCCAGGCCCTGCCCTACGTGGCTCTGCTCATAGTGATGCTCTTCTTCATCTATGCTGTCATCGGCATGCAGGTGAGAGGACGCAGGCCATGACTCAGGGTGGCCTGGCCAACTTAGATGGAGGCAGTGGGCGCTGGGGAGGTGCCCAGCATGCAGGCTGGACCCTCACCGTCCCTGCTGCGGTCACACTGGCACCCCGGGGTTTACCAGAAGTTGGTTATACAGCTAGTCCGCAGATGGTGGCAGTGCTGGTCAGGCAGAAGCAGTCCAGGAGGGCGGGAGGGCCTTCATCTGCCAATGGACAGCAGGGACCCAAGGCTTCTCTAAGGCCCCTGGGAGAGGCAGTCTCTGTTGTCCTCCCCAGGACTTCCCCTCCATGGCGAGCCCTTTGCTATCAGAAAACAGAGCCACTCACTCTGACTTGAGAGGAAGTCAGATTGGTTTGGCTTCAGGCCAGATAGGGCCCGAGTGAAGGGGTTTGAGGAGGCCGGGGTGCAAGTGGGGAGCAGGCAGGTGGGAGGGGGCAGCAGGAGCCTAGCTGAGGGCAAGCGTGTGCCCAGTGCCGAGCAAGGCTCCCTTGTCATTGGCAGATGTTCGGAAAGATCGCCCTGGTGGACGGGACCCAGATAAACCGCAACAACAACTTCCAGACCTTCCCGCAGGCTGTGCTGCTGCTCTTCAGGCAGGTTTCCTGCCATCCCTGCCCCGGTGGGGGGGCCTGCACTACTCCCACTGGGGACCCCTGCTATGTTCCCCGTGGGTCCACGAGGGAGGCCTGGCACTTGGCTGACCTGTCTGGCTCGGCTCTGGAAGGCTCTGTGCTCGCTGCTGGGTAGCCAGGGCCCCCCGTTTAATCCTTTTGGCACGAGGGGCCCCATATCTTCATTTTGCACCAGCTTCACGGATACGAGAGCCGGTCCTGCTGGCATGAGACAGATGGAGCCTCCCAACCTCACCCCGCATCACAGGACACCACCATGTGTCCACCATCCCACCATCATGTTTCCCTCCAGCAGAGTGGAGATTGCTCAGGGATCCGGGTCTGCACAGGGCTCCTTCGCTGTCCCCACCAGTGACTCACATCACTGATAATAGTTGTTCCCTCCAGTCAAGAAATCCCTGTTCTGTAGTTTAGGTCCTGCTTGTTGCACCCCATGACGGATAGAGCAATGGGGATTACAGCATAGTGGGGAAACTGAGGCCCACCTCATGCCCAGCTGCTCCAAGAATCTGGGGGTCTGACCTCCTACTTCTAGAGGGACAGCCCTGGTCAGCCTCCCTCCCTGCACCCACCAGGCCACCGGGGCCGGAGGGGCCCCTCAATAGTGACTGGGCCAACAGGAGCCTCTCTCGCCCAGGTGCGCGACAGGTGAGGCGTGGCAGGAGATCCTCCTGGCCTGTAGCTATGGCAAGCTGTGCGACCCTGAGTCGGACTACGCCCCGGGTGAGGAGTACACGTGTGGCACCGGCTTCGCCTACTACTACTTCATCAGCTTCTACATGCTCTGCGCCTTCCTGGTGAGCGGCCCGGCTGGGCCCTGAGGCGGGACTGACTGCTCCCCCTCCCCACAACCTCTGTCTCTCCAGAGCTGTCATCACAGGGACAGGGGAGGCTGAAGTCACTTGGGCTGTAACTTGGTTTCTAGGTGCTTTTTCCTGCTCTAGCGGGGCCCCTAAAGATGTTAGTTCTGTCAGTAGGCAAGCAGAACAGAATGGCATGTGTCCTCATAGGAAGGGACTTCCCATAAAGCCTGCTGCCCCTCGCTATTCCTTGGAGGAGAAAGTCGCCCACTGTGAGGGGGCTGAGGCTTTGGAAACAGGGACCTTAGGTGGGTCCCTTGGGATTAGAAGCAAGAAGTTGGAGAGCCGGGTTGCTGCCATGTGGAAGGCCAGGGACCTCGCTCCTCCAGCCTTGTTTCTTTCCTGGAATCCCTCATGACTGAGGATCTGGAGTGTCCCTGGGCCCAGAGCAGAACCTAGAAATCCAAATAAGACGTGGGGCCACGCTGATGGCCCAGTGGGTTAGGGCGCAACACTGCAAGCTAGCCTCAGCTGCTTCAGTGCCACTTCGATCCCCGGCCCCAGAAGTGACCCACATAGCGCGGCAGACCTCTCCTGACCCACCCGCTGCTCCCTTTAGCAGTGTATTTCATCCATCTGCCTGTTCTGCTCCCCACTCTGTCTCTGGTGAAGCCTCTCACCAGAGAGTTTTGTATGCATAAATAAATACATCTTTAAAAAAAAAAAAAAAGGCAGTCTGGTCCTTAGGCATGAGAGGAGTCTGTGCACAAATGAGCCTTGCCCTTCAAAGGGCCCCACTATGTGCAGGAAAGGCAAGACATAATAGGGGTACCTAAGGGTACTTCTAATCCCAGGGGACCCACCCCCACCAAGGTCTCTGTTTCCAAAGCCTCAGACTCCTCACAGAGGGTCACTTTCTCCTCCAAGGGATAGTGAGGGGAAGCTGGCTTCATGGGAGGTCCCTTCCTATGAGGACACATGCCATTATGTGTAACATCTTTAGGGGCCCCGCTAGAACAGGAAAAAGCACCCAGAAGCACTCCTACACAGGGAATAGATGTGATGGGGAGCTGAGATGCAGTGAACTCCCAAGAGGGCCCTGCCTGAGCAAAAGTGCCAAGGGGGACAGGATTGGAGGAGGGAGGGAGGTCACTCAGACAGGCTGGAACACTGTGCCCAGAGAGGGGAAGCTCTGCAGCCCACACCCCATGGGCACCCCATGGGCACCTCCAGCCCCCTACCCTGGCCTGGCGTCACTTGTCTTTTGATGTTGGGAATTCTTGGTATCTGCTTGCAGATCATCAACCTCTTTGTGGCTGTCATCATGGACAACTTTGACTACCTCACGCGGGACTGGTCCATCCTGGGCCCCCATCACCTGGATGAGTTCAAGGCCATCTGGGCAGAGTACGACCCGGAGGCCACGTGAGTCCAACACAGCCTCTGTGTGGGGCCATCGCCCACCAGTCCATCCTGCCCTATTAGACCCCAGCCCCATGTCACTAAGGTCCCCCCATTTTAATCAGAGAGTGGGAATCTTCCCCCATCATTTATCCAAAGTCCCAAATCAGAGGGTTCACATTTTTCAAGAATGGGGTAGATCACACAGCAGAACCCCTTTGACCTTACGGGGGAACGGCCACCCAGCTTCTGATCGGGCTTTTCTAGAAGCAGGGAACACACTGCCTCACAGGCACTCTGGCCTCGGCTATGCAGAATGTGGTAGCAGCTGCCCAGACTGATGAAACACAGAGCCCCAACCCCAGCCCCAGCCCCACTGCAGACAGCACAGTCTCTGTTAGCCTGGCTCGCAGGTGTCTGTATGACGCTAAAGCCTGGGAAGCCCCGCTCTCTATTCTTCCCAAAGGGTTAACAAATTCATATTTGGTGACTGTTTCCCCATGTCAGGCACTGTGCTGGCATCACACGCTTCACCTTGTGTCACCCTTGCAATAGCTGACAAAGGTCTCAGTCTCCCGGACGAGGAACCTGAGGTGCAGAGAGGTTTAATACCTAGCTCTTGGGCATACAGCATATAAGCAACGGAGCCAAGGTCCAACTCAGGCCCATCCTGTGCCCTCAGCAGCTGACTAATGTGCTCACATCACAGACACCCAGACCTATCTGCTTCCAGCAGCCATGCAAGAGTTCTAACTCTGTCCCCAGGAAATATTATTGACTCTGTTTCACATTAGTCCATCAGAATAAAAGTGGGAATCAATAGGGTCCTCCAAAATGGATTTTTCTCAGGCCTCTCGCTTTGGTCTTCCCTTTGTCTGCTGCTTTATACCCATTCTGCGGGATTTTATGGCCCCACTGAAAATGTGGTTTCCAGCTCCATACCCATCTCTGCAAGTAGGCTTCTACCTCTCTTGACCTATACCTTCTACTTCTATTAATGCAACCCAAGGGTACCTAATAATCTTGATCCAAAACCAAGGAGGGCTCTGCCATGGGGATCATGAGCTCCAGATTCCACATCTGAGGACATATTGGCCTCTCTTTGCCAAAACAAAAGGAAGCCCATTCTTCGCGGTGGGTAGTGGTGAACCCAAACATTGTTTCTTTAAAAAGGGAGTTGGGCTTCTACTTTCTGAATGTGGTTGGAAAATCAAGAAGCATCCCTCTGGCCCCTGGCTCTCTTTCCCTTAGCCCATTCTCTGAGCAGGGAAGTAGGCCTGGGTGTGGCTGCCAGGCATACAGCAGGGGTGTCCTTCCACAGGGGCAGAATCAAACACCTGGATGTGGTGACCCTGCTGAGGAGGATCCAGCCCCCTCTGGGCTTTGGGAAATTCTGCCCCCACCGGGTGGCATGTAAGGTAACCAGAGCTGCCAGAAAAGGCGTCCCCAGGACAGGAAAAGGGGGTGAGGGCAGGGAAGCTGGGAAGAATCAGAGATTCTCTTGAGGGCCTCATGTTCCAACAGAGCCCTCCAGCTCACCTTCCCACCGGCTCATGGAGCTCCTGCTGGCCAGCCTGAACCCCCAGCCTCAATGGCCTGGGCCCTCCAGCCCATACACTGGGTGGAGACACCTGCTTACATGAGCTCCGCCTTCTCTGCACAGCGCCTGGTGGGCATGAACATGCCGCTGAACAGCGATGGCACCGTCACCTTCAACGCCACTCTCTTTGCCCTGGTCCGCACGGCACTGAAGATCAAGACGGAAGGTGAGGGCTCTGAAGTGTGCCTTCTTCTCTCAGGGAACTGTTCTGGAGATTCTGCAAGAATCTCAGTGCTAAAGTTTGGGGTCAGGGGTCACGGAAAAGAAGAGGGAGGACCCCACACTATACCCACAGAATCCTCATGTCCCTCAGTGCTTAGAGGGAGCCCAAGTGTTCTCAACAGGGCAAACATATGTTTCCACATGACTGTCAGGAAAGTGACAGTCCCGGGGTAAGGTGGCACTGGTCAGGTAACTGGCAGTGTCGGCACAGGGACAAGTTGGCACAGGTCAGTGCAGGGGTGAGGTGGTACGGGTCAGGGAAAGTGGCAGTGTCGGCACAGTGGTCGAAGCACCCTGATATTCAACTCTGGGTGCAGATAGAGGAGCTACACCAGGCAGCTGGTGGAGTCCATGCTCAGCTCCACTAAATCTACAGGCCCCTACCTCCTGGGAAGACAGACCTGGGGCAACAGAGGCAGGAGCCAGGGCCTCAGTATTGCGCCTGACCCTCATGCAGAGCCATCTTGCATGTAATCAGGGCTGCTGCAGGCATGAGGCAGCTCCAGGCAGGTCCTTGGGAGGCCAGAGAGGTGAGGAGGCAGCGGCCAGGGTCAGGGAGGAGCCAAGTTAACCCAGCAGGAAGGCCGCCAGGGGTCTTTGAACATATCCTAGGATGTGCAGCTTTGAAGTCTTGGGGGTATGGGCAAGAAGGGAGGAGATGACACCTTAACATCAGCCCCTCTGGGCACTAGAGCCATGGCCTGTGGGGAATGAGTATGAGACTCGAGGGCTGCACTGCCCTGTGTACAAGGTGCCCTCCCCCATCTCCGGTGCCCAGCACAATGGAAGACTCAGCCAATGTGTGAGGAGGAGCTTGAGTGTACTAGGTGGCTTTGTCAAGTGTACTTGGCATGGTCGGGAGATTTCAGAACTGCTCCTGCCTGTCCCTTGTCCCCAGGTAACTTTGAGCAGGCCAACGAGGAGCTGAGGGCCATCATCAAGAAGATCTGGAAGAGAACCAGCATGAAGCTCCTAGACCAGGTCATCCCGCCAATCGGAGGTGGGTGTTGCTTTGGGAGACTAGAGTCCAGCGGCAGCTGAGGCAAGGACAAGAACCTTCTCCAAGATGCCCTGTGGGCATCTGAAAATGGCCCAGCCTCTCCCTAAAACCTTGGTTGGGCCCCATGGGCAACCACCAGCCTCAGGATGGAAACTAGCCATGGGTCCATGAAGCTAGAAAAGGGGTGGCCTGCAGTGGCCAGTCCTGGCTCCCACTCTGAGCGGTGACAGAGCCCTGCTGACCATCAGGACATCCCTTGTTGGGTTTTCTGCAGATGATGAGGTGACTGTGGGGAAGTTCTATGCCACATTCCTCATCCAGGAGCACTTCCGGAAGTTCATGAAGCGCCAGGAGGAGTACTATGGGTATCGCCCCAAGAAGGACACGGTACAGATCCAGGTGAGCCCACCACTAAGCCGAGCTGAAGCTCCAGGCAACCTCCTGCTTAGCCAGGTTGGTTAGCCAGCAGTCACCCGCCTGCTCTCCCTCAGCGTCCTCGGGGGCAGTGACGGCTGCATGGGGGAGGGAAGGAGCCAGGCCCAGTGAGGAAATGATGTGACCTCCCTGGATGGTCCATGTGGAACTGTTTCCAGCTCAAGTGAAGAGCCAGGAGCTCCTCCATCTCTGGATGCTAAGACCAGATGAAATGGGATTTGTTTGTAGTAGAGACTTGGGTTAGATTTGAGCAGGGGGCTCCCCAGATGGCAGATCCTGAGGGGGTGCACAGAGGATTCATTTGTGTTTGCAAAGAAAACTTCAGAGCTTTATTTTTTCTTGTTTGTTTTTTATTTCTATTTTGAATTTATAAATTCATAAAACATATGTACTTGGGCTGTGCTCTCAAGAGTTTATTTCAATTGCAACTTTTATTTTGAGACAATCTCATAATTGCAAAAGTTGCATGTAAAATACCCGCCTGAACCATTTGAGAGCAAGTCCCAGCATGAGGTCCCATCAGTCCAGAGCACCTTTGTGGGCAATGCGTTAGGACACAGCACTGCAAGCTAACTGCAGGCACTTCAGTGAGTGTTTGATCCCCGGCCCCAGCCCTGGAGGTGACCCACATGGAGCAGCAGACCTCTCATGACCCGCCCTCTGCTCCCCTCAGCAGTGTACTTCATCGATCTGCCTGTTCTACTCCCCACTCTGTCTCTGGCGAAGCCTCTCACCCAGCATACCTCTGGCCTGTACCCCAGTTCTGTATGCACAAATAAATAAATCTTTAAAATAAAACAAAACTGCAAGCCTTGCACTATCGCAGAGGCCAGAGCAGGACTTGGCCTCACTGATCCCTGGCACATTGGATGAGCCAGGAGGTGACTGGGCCAGGGCCAGGGCTTCGGAGAGGCCTCAGTTGCCAAGATTAGAGATCTACAGGGTCACTAGGAGCAGTTCTGCACCGGCCCTGGGCTGGATGACCCATTGGGTCCCCTACCTCCAGGCTGGTCTGCGGACCATTGAGGAGGAGGCTGCCCCTGAGATCCGCCGCACCATCTCCGGGGACCTGACGGCTGAAGAGGAGCTGGAGAGAGCCATGGAGGAGGCCGCAATGGAGGAGGGCATATTCCGGGTGAGTGTAGACCTGGCCACCCTGTGTACTAGGCGTGGTGGGCAGCAGTGCCCAGCCACAGGAGGGCGACAGAGACGCCGAAGGCACGACCACACATCTTGGGACTCTGGGTCCTGATGCCACCTACTCGAGGTGACAAATGTAACACTTCTTCCCGACTTCCTCTGCCACTCCCTTCCCTCCTCACAAACCTGAGGCCACCTCCAGGAAGTCCTCCAGCATCACCTGATCTGTCTGGGCAGTTACTCTGGGCCCTCAGCCTTAGCTTGGTGAGTGCAGGTGCTGAATGCCCACCTAGTGAAACCTTCTTGAGTTACTTGTGAGGAAATGGTCAGCCAGAGAAATGACGGAAGATGCCCAGTGTTACCAGCTAGTTTGGACACTAGAGACCTAGTTCTAGCACTATTGCACCCTATTTCCCATCTCTCCTGATGTCTGTGTCTCCTATATAGTTACTTAGGTACCTCCTGTTACCCTGTCAAACTGAGAACTTTCAGAGGGTGGGGATTGTCTCTAGTTTGACCCCAGCTGGGCCCATTCCCCTCAGACTCCACAGTGCAGGAGGAACACTGAGGTAAACCTCCCAGCCAGTGGGTGGCGCTCATGGGCAACCTGATTACACTAGAAGGTAGAATATTCTAGACTCCACCCCCTGATGTCAACTAGATAGTGGAAGGCAGGACCTTTCAAACTCAACTCTTCCCACAGGGGCTGATGGGGAAAACAGAGGTGGAGCAGAGGTTTGGGACAGCATGAGCCACTCATAGGAGGGGTGTCTGTGGAGAAACCAATATCTTGCCATGCTCGGCTTGGCTTGGGCCTCATTCTCTGCTCCACAGATGCTCTCTTGGGCAGGACAGACGGCATCTGGCCATGTGCTAGCCTGTAAATTCCTCTCTCTCTCCCCCTCTCTTTTCCTGTGCAAATAAATCCTGCTGTTGTTTCCCACTGTCTGCTCTGAGGTCATGTCCTGCAGCTAAAGGCATGCAGGAGGACCCACCAACTGGCCAGTGGGTCATCTCCCTGTGTCTGCTTCCAGCAGGACTCATCTCCCAACCCACCATCACTTGTTTCCAGCATCGTGGGGCCGGGGTGACAGCCTTACCCGCAAGCCTCAGCTCTGAGTCTTTCCACGCTCTTTCTGGTTCTAGAGGACTGGAGGCCTGTTTGGCCAGGTGGACAACTTCCTGGAAAGGACCAACTCCCTCGCTCCCATGATGGCCAACCAGAGACCCCTCCAGTTCACTGAGATAGAGATGGAAGAGCTGGAATCACCTGTCTTCTTGGAGGACTTCCCTCAAGATCCAAGCACCCATCCTCTTGCTCATGCCAATACTAACAACGCCAACGCCAATACTGCCTATGGCAACAGCAACCATAGCAACAACCAGGCGTTGTCCAGGTAGTGGCAGCTACTGGGTGTAGGAGTACCAGGGCGGGAATGGGGAGACAAAATCTGTAGGTTCAGGGTGTTTTTGGAAGAAGTACACTGGAACGTTTCGGATGGTCTTTGCTTAGCTTTGAGCCCTTAATGCACCAACCAGGCCAGGAGACAGAGACTCCTTTGACCAGCAGGGGGCAGCCTCGTGTCAGCCTTGGTCCCATGTTGAGCGACTCTTTCCCTCACCTATAGCTCATCTAGAAATTTAGTGGTGTTGGACATATTACAGGTTAGAAGGAGATGGCCTTCAGAAATGGTGCGTCTATGATGTGGTCAGCTAAGTTTCAAGCATTGGATTGGGTTCCAAGGAGATCACACTAGGCTGTCGTTTCTACCTCACCAACCCTGAGCTGTGGACTAAGTATATTCTGTGATCACGTAAATAATCTGCCATAAAAAACAGCAGGAGAAAGGAGAGAACGTTTCAGTCATCATAGCCAATGGCTGGGCTCCAAGTAGAGCCCATTCTAGGCAAGGAGAGCCCTGGCCCACAAAGGCTGAGTCTCGAGTCCTCGAGAGTAGACAGGACAGGACAAAAGAACTGAGAAGCAGTGCTTCCCATGGCCAAGGCCACCTGCAGGACCTTCTCATGAGACCCAGATTCAGCGCACAAGACCTGAAGGGTGCCTGTGCTTTGGGGTCACTGCGGAGCTAGGTTGTAGAAATACTGACACGAGCTGGGTGGGGCCTAGAGGGATTGTGGCCCACTGGGGGATATTTATGGATATGATCATGACCAAACACTTCCAGGTTAGCTGTCAGCAGAGTGCAGCGAGGGTATGGAAAGTTCTAGAACCACACCAGGCAATGTTTCTCAGTGCACCAGGATATCGAGGGAGCCTTCAAAAATCCCAGTGGCTGGGCCCCACTGCAAAATCTGGGGACGGACAGGGCCACCCTAGTTTTTAAGCCTTCTTCCCAGGAGACCCAGGAGGCACCCAGGTTGAGAGCTAGTGTCTTAAGGGCTGCAAGACTAGAGCTGGGCCTCAAAAGATGAACAGAATGTGAAGAGGGTGGAGGAAGGGTAACTCGGGCAGGAGAAGCCACAAGGCCAGGGTGCAGACTGAAGGAGAATCGTGCCTGGGGGTGCCGGGGGCAGCAGCACCAGCAGCCTGCTGACTTCATGGGATTTGCTTACATTGCAGCATCCACTATGAAAGGGGGTTCCCTGGAAAGGCAGAGCCACCTGCTGCCCAAGGAGGAGCCCACAGCCGACCCCAAAGGGCCCTAGGTCAGTGTCTTCTGGCACCAAGAGGCTGAGGCCTGGCACTGGCCCTGGCCAGGAGGGCTGGCTGGGGAGCATGTTCCCATAGGAACCAGCTGGGCAGGTCAATGGGGGTGGTTCAGGGCAGCTCTGCAGTCATGGAGGGGCACCCAGTCTCCCACAGGTCTTAGACCACATGACAGGAGCCCCGGAGACACTAGAGCTCAGTGGAGAGGAGGGTGTCTGCCCTGCCCCCATCACACACGTATGCATGTGTCCACACACATGTGTGGACACATACATACATATGGACATGTTGAAAAGCAACCTGACCAGACTCTGGCACTCAGTCCCTTTCCCAAGCCCACAAGGACAGCAGTGGGGTGGGCGGCGACACAGTCCTGTCCAGCCTCAAGGCGTGTCCGTGTTCCAGGGTCTCCTCTGCAGCCCCAGGGCCTCCTAGGGCCTGGGCATGGCCGGAGGGCCGAGCAGGGCTCCATGACTAGGGCCTCAGTGGCGGCAGGGAGCAGCTTCTCTTGTCTTTGCCCCATCTTGCCCCCAGGACCCCACAGCAAAGCCCATGTGGAAAGGCTGAGAGGACAGCTGACCCGTGGAGCAGTGCCCAGTGTCCAGGCCACTCCTGCCCTCTGCCAGGTAACAGGCTGCCTCCTGGGAGGAGACCACCCAGAGGAAGGGGAAGCAGTGATTTTATCACCAATAACGGAAAGGACTCCTGGGCACCCCCTTTCTGTGGGTCTTGCCTGAGGCACTTCCTAAAGAGCTAGGGGTTCACTGGACCCCAGTGGGCTCCAGCTTCCATGTTGGGGTCTTTGCTTTGTGCATTTGGAACAGTGGACCAGGGAAACGCCTCCCCTGCCTGAGGAGAGGGAGAGCCCCACCCCAGGCTGTCAGTCTGAGGAGACGCCCCACAGCCGTAGAACCGAGGGGAGTCCTTCCCGGTGCCCGGCTCCAGCAACAGCCCTCCTGATTCAAGAGGTGAGGGGGGACCCAGCAGCAGCCCGCTTCAGTGGCTGCTTCAGTGGTGGCCGGTGAGGGCCAGGGGCGGGAAGACTGCGGGCTGGCAGAAGCAGGCCCTCAGAGAGACCCCACCCAGCCTCCTCTCCTTCCCGCAGGCTCTGGTTAGAGGGGGCCTGGACACCCTGGCGGCTGACACTGGCTTCATCCTAGTAACTGGCCATGCCCTGGCAGAGGCCTGCCAGATGGACCCAGAGGACGTGGAGGTGGCAGCCGCAGAGCTGCTGAAAGGACGGGAGTCCCCAGAGGGCGTGGACCGTGGCCCCGGATGCCTGAGCCTCAGGTCTTCCGTGGGCAGCCTCGACCAGCGTCAGGGCTCTCAGGAGACCCTGATCCTCCACAGGCTGTGAGAGCCCAGCCCTCAGCAGATGGACAGAGCGCCGGCATGGCCAAGGCTGGGGAAGGGGGTTCCAGAGTGGAGGAGGAGGCCTCCCTCCTTGGCAACTAAATGGGTGCACTGAGTAGGGGGGGCCGGGATCTACCTCCAGGTCAGGAGGAAGCGGCTGACGCCCTTCTCACCAGCGGGAGCTGTGACTGGGTACAGCTTCTGCTGTCATTCAAACAGGCCTGCCCAGAGCCAGGGGCGTCTGGCTCAAGGCCACTCTCAGCAGCAGGACATTAAAGTCTCCAGCCTGTGACTTGGGCACCTGGCCTCTGTCTCCTTTCTTGGCCCCTTCTCCTACACCCACCCCTCCCCCAACTCCCTATCCACAGGTTCAGGAGCCTGGGTCTGGGACAAGGGCCAGCAGGACTGCTATTCTGCGTGAGGCAGAGGGGACACGACTGGGGAGCATGTATGTCCTCCTGCAAGGTCATGGCCCCTTCCACGACGGGGCCCGGCAGCCTCAGGATGGCTGGTGGCCTTCAAAGCTGACCACATCCATGGTCACATCACAGCAGCCTCCTTTGAAGCTGTGACCTGTCTCTTTGGCCAGAGTCTACTGCCAATACAGGCCTCAGAGGCCTCAAGTGCCTCCGTTCGTGACTTGGATATCAAAGATCTACAGTCTCCATGGCTCCTCCATCTATATGAGCAATAAGCGCTAGCACAGCAGCACCTAGGTCACCATTCACCAAGCACCTCCTGCTGCAGACATGTCTGACGCCAGGCGTCTTAGTACATTTCTCTCCCCAAAGCACATTCACACACAGTATCCATTTCATTCTGATCACGGTTTCACGAGGCAGGTGTAGATTCGTTTCCCAGATGCTGCAGTGGAGGCAGGGAGGTGACGTGGGCGGCCTGGGGTCCCACAGCCACAGAGAGACAGTTAGGACGCCCCACCCCACTGACCCCAGAGGTGCCCTCCCCACCCACCACTGTTCCTTCAAGAAGCCTTTGATCAAGTCCTGCTTTCTGGCTGTTGCTGTGGAAACCACATGGGTCCCCCCCGCAGCCGTCCACCAGACCCCAGACAGGCTCCCCGGGAGACCCCAGACCAGACCTCACACTCTGTGCCCTGAAAATCCACAGCCCAGGCCTTCACTGGGCCCCAAAGCTCCCAGGCCCCAGCTGTGTAACTTCCTTAACTCCTCTCTCTTCTCAAAGCTCTATACGGTTTGCTCGCCATCCAGAGCCCGGTTTCTTCCAGAGAAATAAAGGCCACCGAAAGGCCCCTCCACTGGCTCCTATCATCTAGCTGATGATGGGCTCATCTGAGTCTGTCTCACCTTCTCCTCCTACCTGTCTGTTTGTCAGTCACCAAACCTCACCTGGTTGCCTCTTTGCCGACAGTGTTATTCCTACTTCCCATTCCTCACCCCAACAGTCTGCCTTTGACCACACCCCATCTATGAAAGCCCTGCTCACGGATGTCACTACCAACCTTGTTGCTGCTCCAGGGGAATTCCTTCCATCCTCACCTTGATTTCTGGGCAGCATTAACATCCTCCCTCAAAGGCCTGCTCCCCTCAGCTCTCCTGGCTTCCCTCCTGCTTTTGCACGCTGCAACCTGAAGCACTCCTGTGAGCTCCCCCCTGGTTTCCTCCCTCTTGGGTTTGAGGCTCTTCCAGTTCTGTGTCCTTCAAGTTTCCTTCTCCCTCACTGCCTCCCCATTCTCCCGGGATGATGTCACCCTCTCTCACACCTGAGTTTGCATCTATGTGTTTAAAAATTCGCAAATCAGCATTGCTAGCCCAAATCGCTTCCAAACTCCCAATCTCTGCATCCTGCTGTTTCCGGCCAGCCCCACACCTATCTCTGACAGATGCTCAGAACTCAGCTTGTTCAAACAGACCTCGTTACCCTTCTCCATGGTCCAGCAGGCCTCACTGCTGCTGAGCTCGGGAAACCAGGCCTTGTTTAAAGCTGAAGTTGAGGCGTTCTCCTACACTCCTCCCCTCTCACTGAGCAGTCCTCCAACCTGTCTCCCCAGAACCCTCACACTGACTTTCCCGATATGGTGGACCTCATTTTGAGCTTCATTCATTGCGAAAACCTTCAAACTGGCCTCCCAACCTCTTCTCCCTTCCTTCCATCTTTCTAAAGGAGAAACCTATTGCCTTAGTCCCTCTCTTCAAATCCTCTAAGGTACCCCCAAGCCTTTGGAATACTGTGGGAAAGCCCTGCTCTGCTTACAAGCCTGCACCACCTCCAGGCCTGGTGCTGCTCCCCTGTCCACGCCCGGAAATCCTGCAGCCCCAGCCAGGGGGCGCGTCTCCCACCACCAGACATGCTGTTCTGGCTCTTTCTTCCCCCACCCTCCACCTGACCCATCCCCGCCATCTTTCCAATCAGAGCTTTGCTGTCACTCCCTGCAGGGCACCTTCCCTGAACTCCCCCCACAGGGGTCAGCCCAGCAGCCTGGCATCTGCTTCTGCCCATCACAGTGGGGAGCCCAGCCATGCTGTATCTGTTTATTTTATTTATTTATTTATTTATTTTTTTGCCTTCACCAGATGCTCAGCTCCACGGAACAGGAACAAGTCCACTTGTTCAAAGTTGTCCTCGAGATCCGAGTGCTTTTCAGCAGACTCGTGGCTTGACAACCGGCAAATAAATGCAGCAAATGCAAAGTATGAACCCCGCTGTACATCCAGGCCAGAGAAGGAGGAGGAGGCGGAGGGAGGAGCTGCAGGCAGAACAAGCTGCAACTGCACGCCTCTGCTCACACACCACACGTAGCCGCCTCATCCGCCTCCAACTCAGTGAACTCCTCTTTAAGGGGCTGTAAAAGAATCCACCCCATCAGGTGACGGAGAAGATCAAATGGAGTGGCACTTGTGTGGAAGCACTGTGGGCATCTATAAAAGGGGATTCTCGTTTACAAGGGGGTCGTGAGCGTGTTCTATTAATACCCAGCCCGTAAAGACAGCCAGCTGCACACAGGCCCTGCAGCAAGTCACATATCTGCCTGGGGGCTGACCACGGATATTGGTTGTTTAACCCTCTTAAAAAGCCTCATCCTTATTGTGCAAAGGTGAGTAAGGGAGGGTGCATCACCTGCCCCAGGCCACCTGTCGGGGGATGGGGTGGTACACCCAGCCCCAAGCCGGTGCCCATGTCCTGGAGTCCTGCACAGCCCGTGTGTGCCTGTGTCTGTCTGGCAGCCCAGTGGACTGCCAGGAGCACACGACCTAGTAACAGGCACTTCCCAACCTAGTAACACTCACCCTTTGGACAAATTTGGGCCATTTCCTTTGCAACATAGAAAATGTGATTTCTCCCATTGCACAAAATCCTGCCTCTGTCCCGACTTAGCAGAGGTAACAGTGGGCTTCTCCATAGAGGCCTGCAGCCCGCACTTGAGTAAAGCATGTGGCAGGCTGCCGGCCCAGGTGGTAGGGAGGGGTGCGGGGGACAGGCCCTTCTTCTCAGCAGGACCAGCTGACGGGCTGTGTACCCACAGGGGTTGGGGGAGCCACCTTCTGTAGCCTGGGGGCACTGGCCAAGGATGGTGTCCCCTGGACCCTTTCTTCTCCTGCCAGTTCCCTACAGACTTGGGGCCCAGCTGCTAGGTGGAAGATCTGCCAGAGGGGGCTGGGTGCTTCTTGTTGCAGGGGTGGGCACAAAGCCACATGCCAGGCCAGGGGACGAAGGGAGCCCTCCCAGCAGGAAGGTGTGGAGCTGGAGGAACATCTCCGGACAACAGAAGAGGGCGGGTCCCAGCCCTGCTGTGCCATCCCAGATGGGTGAGTGGTTACTGAAGGAGGGGCGTGGTGCTCTCTGCAAGGGGTTTCAGAGCAAAGCTGCCTCGGAACCCCGCCCCCCCACCTTTGTGCTATGACATTGGAAAGTTCATAAAATCATCTCAAGCTTTGGCTTTTCCTTCTGTACATTTGAAACCATAAAACCTGGGGGAAGTCACAGTTTGTGGGCCCACGCCCGTGTGTCTACCATTGCAAGATGCGACTCAGACTCAATGTAACAACAAAAGGGCCTATTTATAGGAGGATAGAAGAGATAAGGAAAAAGAAGCATTTCTGAGGCCACAAATGGCCATCTGACCGGCCCCAGAGAGTGCCCGCAGTTGCCACTAGTTCAAACCAAAGCCCCCACTGACAGCCATGTGTGAGGAGACCATGATTCTGGTGACGTGTCACGCCTGCCTGGGGGCTGGCCACTCCAAGACCAGCCGGCAGGTCCTGCTGGTGCAGCCGTCAAGGGTGAGGTCTCACAGCCGGTGACTGGCAGTTCTAGGATCCCCAAGCTTCTTCCTCCTCTGCCTTCCAAGTGCCCCTAAGTGGAACTTAAACCCCAGTTTAGAAAACCAGGCATGGAAGTCTTCAAGAGAAATTCACCCTTAAAGGAGCAACATCAGAATTCTGGCACTGAACACCCAGGGAAAAGACAAGTGTGATGGAGAAGTACTCTGAGGTGCAGACACTGGGATTGGAAAGCTTGGAAGAGCTTTCTGACCCCCGTGGTGAGAAAGGAAACCACGATCCAGGGCGAGCCAGGAGGAAACCTCAGGCTTCAGAAAGGCTCCCTGGTGTGTGTGGCTAGAAGCTCGTTCCCTTTTCTAGCTGTGTGTTTACAGTGTCTCTGTGCTGCTGACCTCTCCTGTGGGACGCTTGTAGCTATGGTGACTGTAGTCCCGTCCATTGGAGGCCTGAACATGTCCCATGGACCATCTATAAAAGAGACGGCCATGTCACTCAGCCCCTTGATGGGAACTTGGCTCAGAAAGGCTAAACAGATCCGCCAATGTCACAGGGCCACGGGGAGTGAGCCAGGTGGCCGGCAGGAGCCCCAACATGGCCCCAGGCTTACGTCTTACCCTGTTGTGAGGCTCGCTTCACAATCCCCCTGTGCTCAACCCTCATCTCACTAATGGGGGCCCTTCCACACCCTACCAAGGTCCCGTCTAGCCACATGCAACTCAAAAAATTTCCCTCTTCCTTCACAGTTCCCCCCTCAACTGCACAGCACCTCTGCACTCAGCCAGCAGGCACCCCCAGAACCTCCTGTGAGGGCCAGGAAAGGGATGTGCTTCTTCCTTCCACCTGTGCACCGTGACACCTGTCACACTGGGTGATAATTCAGAGCTTACAATTTGTTTTTTTCCAAGCATACACTGAGTGTCTCAAGGGCAGGCAGGGACAAATCTTTATCAACCCTGTATCCCCAGCAAGGAATGAAGAAAGGGAGAGAGGGAGAGAAGGAGGAGATTTCAGGA